ACGAGAACCATTCCCACCCTGGGAACTAGAGCACGTGATGGCTGCTCAAGGAAATGAGCATTATGATACTCAATATTGAGCAACACCGGTCTCCTATAAAAAAAATATTAAATATTTAAAATACATTAATATTTTTTGCATATTACGTAAAAAAATACGTCATTTTATTATTGAATTAACTTTAATTTGGTGGAAGGAAAATAGTGATGGAGACTGACCAAAAACAAATGGACCATCTCAAGTATTAGTTTCACTGGGACTGGAAGCGAATGGATTGTATGAAACATTGCGAATCCGAACAATATGTGGTACTTTCTGGATACAATGGGTTGCGTAAATTTCTCAGCACCCTGAACACCTTGTTTTGTGTAACAGTGAGTGTCATCGGGTTGTCAGTCGTACTCGGTTCCTCAGAAACAGCATACAGTGGGCCAGTGTTGTGTATGTGTAAAGCGGCTTGTCTGTTATAGTGAATTGTTACAACTATATAAATCTGGTAGGTCAGATCCGAAGTTAGTGTAGCACATGTATGGTTTGCTAGAGATAATATGCGGAGTTTAGGTAGTGTTATTATTGCTATAATATTTAAGGCTCTATATGGTACAACATATAATTAGATAATACAAGATTTATACAGTGCAGATGCTTTTATGTCTAAGATAAAATACTCACGAAAATATGTATAATAATAATAGTATTAATTTGTGTTATTTGATTAATTTTCAATGTTACATATATCAAAAATTATCTTAAGAATTTTGAGAAACTGTCAAGTTTACTTAAGTATTTTACATTACAGTAGCATATCTTGATCATTTGGATTTGAAAATTATAGCAATAACCATTCACATCCCTAATTATAAACAAAAAAAATAACTTAATCAAGTTTATTTACGAATTATAAATTGCGAAATAAAATCACGAAGTGCAGGTGTATTAATTGCTTAGTTATTTTTATTAATATGCAGATGTTCCAGCTGATTGTTAAGTTTCTCCTGTAACCCTATACATCAGTAACGGTCGATGGTAGCGTCACAGTTCAATGCTCTAATAACTCCGTGAATAATAATTACAAACAGCAAACACCGTGATTGAAGTCCGCTTTATACGATATAAGTTCCGTATTATATTAAATATTATTTATGGTTCCGTAAAAATAATAGAAAACCTTCAGAAAAAATTAAACTTATATTTTCGGATTACTACGAGTTTTTTTAAATAAAATAACGCGCTTTTAGCTTAATTACTGTTGCTGCAAAGTAACCGAAACTTCGAGAGCAGGTAATTTTTAAAATAATTAAATAACGCGTACATAGTAATCCGAATATATTACTATCATTTAAATGAATACTTACGAAAGTCTAGATCTTATTACTTCATATATTAGCTAAAAATAAATTTATTGAAGACGATTATCTTCTATATATATAAAAATGGATTGCTGTTCCTTAGTCTCGCTAAAACTCGAGAACAACAGAACGGATTTATCTTATCTTAGTCTTGAAATGTTCGTGGAGGTTCAGGGAAGGTATAAAAGGTGAGAAAAATTTATTCATTTCCGGGAAAACCCTAAAAACAGCCCTGTTCTATTTCCCATACAAACGTTTTCTTTGACATTAGATTTGACAACTAACTAATATGTCAATCATTCTGTGCGATTGAAACAGGAGAAACCTGATTATTAATGGCCTCTAAAACGGAATAGAGTTCGCCCGGTCAGCTATACATATATTACTAATGACGAAACTAACGCGGACGAAGTCGCGGGCAAAAACTAGTATGAAATAAATCTCCTTAAATTCTATATAGCAAAAAAATATGACTCTTTTATAACCCCTACTACGGATTTTACATTAATGAATGATATTATTCCTATCTTTGAACAGTATCGTAAGTATAATTAATTACAGGTGGTCAACTAAAGGGCAGTCTTCATAGAGACTGTCGATCTCGCAACCTTTACCCTTTTACTTGTACTCATTGAATCCGGTGAGAAAATCACACGGTCCAGTTACCCTTAGTAAAAACATTTATTAAAAATTATAGCATTTTGCAAAGAAACAAGTATATTATCAGAATGGACTCATTACTCTCATTGTTTAAATTTTAGGGCACAACCGTTATCTCTATATACGAATTTATTTCATTCTTTAAACATTAGAAGTAAAATATATCAGATAATTTGACCAACTATGTTCTAGAAATTTCAAGACTTACAAATATTAAAGTCGTTAGTCGAAATGTATATTACATTTAACTAGCTTTCCGGCCACAGCTTCGCCAGCGTGGAGTTCGGTCATATCGCGTTTCCAAGAGAACCTTTTTAAAGTCTGGGATAAAAACTATCCTATTTTCTTTCTCAATGTCTACTCTATCTCAATATCAAATTTTATTAAAAACAGTTCAGTGGTTTAGGCATGAAAGCGTAACAGACAGACAGACAGAGTTACTTACTTATTTATAATATTAGTAGGGATTTATTATTTTTCATACATTTATATGCATTTTCACAAACACTACATATAATGTAACGAAAATCTTTCACAATGAAACAACAATTTATAATCTTTAAACCTTGGTCTGAATATACGCGAATGTAACAGTGTTGTCATACGACATTATCTAAAAATGTTAGTTACGTGTGGCGTCTAAACGAGGCCTTTATAATGAGACATTTAAATATATTTATTTATTTAATTTATATGGCAACATTTTTATGTCATTATGGAAGAATAAAGAATTTTTTACTTGATATAATAATTGTCATTTTGATGACATAAATTATGGCAACATTTTCTTTCTTTTATTAAAAAATATTCCTTAGAAAACTGCGTTACATCTTCGATTGTTAATAGAATATATAAAAATGAGTATCGTGATCTAGACTAGAACGGTTTCTTTGTACAGTAATTCATTCAATGATATACTTTTCTTTTATAATATATCAATTCCATAGAAATCATAGCATAGCATTATAAAAATTGTATTCGTATGTAAAAAATGTATATTGGAAAAAGCATTCTTTAAGCGTTTCAACGTCTGTTTTAATTTTAAACGTTAGTTATATTATAGTATAATTTCTGTTTTTTTTTTGCATTATATAAAAATGGATTGCTGTTCCTTAGTCTCGCTAAAACTCGAGAACAGCTGAACGGATTTATCTTATCTTAGTCTTGAAATGTTCGTGGAGGTTCAGGGAAGGTATAAAAGCTGAAAAAAAATTATTCATTACTGGGAAAACCATAAAAACAGCCCTTTTCTATTTCCCATACAAACATTTTTTTGACATTAGATTTGACAACTAACTAATATGTCAATTATTCTGTTCGATTGAACCAGGAGAACGGAATAGAGTTCGCCCGGTCAGCTATACATATATTACTAATGACGAAATTAACGCGGACGAAGTCGCGGGCAAAAACTAGTATCTAATAAAAAAACGAATTATCTTTTATTCCACCAATCAGTATATCTATAATCTTAAGAAAAGGTCTTCAACAAAAAGTGTAAACATACTTTTTATTTAAGAAAAAACGTCTATATAACTATACTATTGCAGCTATATAAATAAAATACGTATTGGACATTTAAATTCAACAAGAATCTTGAGATAAGTATTAGAACAAAATAATTCAATTCACGCAAACAATTGATATAAGATTAGAAACTAAACAACGCTACTGTATAAAATGTTAAATATAATTTGTGCATTATAGAAGCGTTCTGTTCAGACCAAGATGGTATTAGTGCCGGGTTATACACTAAAGCGCAAAGGTTCAATTTAATATGGCATCCAGTTTCACCAAATACATGTTCTGTTCATAGATCAAGGATCGCGTTTATTATTCCGATCGAGCGATGCAAATTATAGGTTCGATAGTATTCCATTGAATTATTATACATCCAAAAGTCTTTTGTATTGAATTCACTTGTGCCTGTAACTTAAAAATAGTGTTGAGAAATATCAACGTCCTTGTATCGTGGGAATATATTTATTTATCTCATTTTATAATTTCGACTGTTATCTTTCTTAAGACGTTAAGCCGAAATTTGAATAAACATCTCATGGATTACAGTCATTGTAATGATATTTGCACAACAAATACGAATAGAAATGTTAGATTCTATTTTTGATGCAGATGCAGATTACGTAACGCAACTACAAATATATAACAGGAAACATTATAAGTACAAATGACCCGAGCTATCAACGGTTGCATTAACTGTACATCAGTTGCATAACACGCCCTGAGAGTTGCACAACCCCGTTCAATTCACTCTCATTGTCGTTCGAGCTTTACTGTGAAAATTCCCGCGTAAACCGGGCAAAAAGCGCGGGAACTTATACCATAATGGCCGACATAACGCTCCGTATGTTATCTGTCAGATACATTTACAACATAACAGATATTCACATTATTTGTTTTGTAATTGGTTAACCTTTTTATTGTTATATATGATTTTTTTATGTGATTTAATTTATATGTAGGTCAGAATCCAAAGGTGATTAAAACAATAATTTTTGGAATATATTTTTAGATTTTCAGATACTAACATTTATCCCTCTTATAAAAATATTGAAAATAAACTCAATTTGATAAAATTATAGTGAAAGTTAATTAATATCGTGACTTCTACTTTTAAAGTCTGTCAATGTATTGTAGTACAAGCCGACATATTTTCGTAATTATTGTTTTGTTTATAAAAGGAAATCAATTGTCATGTAAATGCGATAATTGTTTAAGAATAGCGCAAATTACTGGTAAGGCATGTGTTGTAACAACGGATAAACAAAACAAGACAACAATAAACAAACAAGCCGCTTTATTAATCTCATTGATAGGAACATATCATACGCGTGTCTCAAGACGAACACTGTAATGGCGAGCATTAATGTGTTTGAAAAACTTCACAAATAACATGGGTTGACATTTTAATGTGACATTTATATAAGTGAATTAAGAATTCTGTTAGCAACATTAATAGACATTACTTTCAAAATGGTTAACGGCAATTACGTCCTGTATGGTGACAGACCGGCGTCGGAGTCAGAAATTGTGAGTGACCATGTTCAAACGAGGACCGCTGAACGGAAACCCAAGAGAAAGTCCCATAGAACAGCCAGCGAAGTCCAGCATAATCTAAACCTCGAGGAAATGGATAATCAGACTGACACGGTTAAATACGAGAACAAAATCAAAGAACCCATGCTGCTGAGATATGTCGCAACAACTGAGGTGAGGAAAACTTTGTTACTGAGAGATTCGAGACTTTAGATGCTAAGATGAACGATGAACCTCCAAGAAGGAACTTCACCAAAAAACCAAAAAATCCGTCCGATGGTTCTGTAAACTACGCGTACTCCAGATCTAGCAGCAGTTGCAGTTCTCCAAACGGCAATCTGCCGACGATATCTGAACACGTAGAACAGTACGGAACCTACAGAGTCTGCTCTCCACACTCACCACCGAGGAGCATGAGCAATATAAACTGCTATGAATCGAAACTAGACAAATATTTCTCAAAACCGAGAGATTTGAAGACCTTCACTGCAAAGGTAGGGTATGAAGTAAGTTGCATAGTTATCCCTACTAATATTATAAATGCGAAAGTAACTCTGTCTGTCTGTCTGTCTGTCTGTCTGTCTGTCTGCTACGCTTTCATAAACCATGTGATTTTACTAACTTACGTGTCTGAGTTATATTTCAATTTTATTGTCATAAAAAACAACATATTCTAATTCCTCGTCTATAAAAACAGAAAAAGACCAGCGAAGTTTAAATTGATAAATTTAAATTATCCGATGTCTAAATTATTTTTTTATTTTACTGTATTAGACAAATAACAAGAATGCCCCCGATTTAAAACGAATTCAAAATTACAAATTTATCGACCGTTTATTTCAGAGACAGAATTCGTTTAGGTTTTTTTTTTTTCATGTCCAACTAATAATTTTATTTACGTCATAAATCATAACATCTATTGAAACTTGAATTTGTTTGTGTCAACAAATCTATTATAACCATGAGATATGTATATTTTTTACTTATTGTGTCATATATGACTCCACATTTTTCGGTAATCGCGTGTCATTACTAAAACACCGGGTATCAATAGTCATTACAATTCACAGCAATGATTTTTATTAGAACATCTCTTATAGATTGCATAAAATTTTATTTCTGCGCCATCGATTTATCAACGTGCTTAAAAGGAGATGAAATATATAAATTTAGGCGCTACTTCCTATCTCTTGAACTACATAACCAAAATCATATTGCTTTAAATCGTCATTATTACACGGAATCGAATTCAGTTACGAATCTCCAATAATAAATCAATCTTTCGAATACATTGTCCGCTATTCGTATCTTCTAACACTGATTACATAAAAATCGAAATGCCTTCATAAATTAGATGCTTGCGATACATATATAATAGATTTTATAACACGCAACAATCACGGACGCTTCGGCAAATTAACGACATCTAATATAAAATACTGGTCAGAGTGACGAAACCACTGTCACGACTCTCTAAGGTCAAAGGGGCTTCCCGGTGTGTCACCATACATACATTATAACATGGGATAATAAAACCGTCATAAATTTTATATAAAAAATAACAAAAACACGCCTTCCTTGGTTTCACTCTCATCTGTATGCAAATAAATTTAATCTCGAACTCGACTAAATACAGACTCGATAAAGTCATATCTTTAAATTTAAATGACATTCATTCTTTCATTTACAATTAAGATTACGCACGAGATGTTCTCATATCAATTAGATTATCTAATACGTTTGTATTGACTCTTACATAATCAGATGATTAACTAGTATTATATGTTTAAATGAAACTAATATTTTAAGTAAATGTAGTAGTCGTAACGTCGGGAGTATGTCGTTTTTTACAAAAATAGTACGCGTAGCATATCCGAAAAATTTTAGTTTCATTTAAATGAAACGCGAAAGACTTAGATCTCATTATATTATATACTTAATCTTCTACCTGGCAATTTTACCAGCTTTAGTCAGGGTCTGCCTTATATGTTGTGAATAGTTTAAATAAATATATTTCGACTTTCAAAAGATGACATAAAAAACTTAATCCAAACGACCTGACGGTGTCAACACATTAATATCTTTTATAATCTGTCCGACGACAAAATGTTTATGTTTTTTGACTTAATAGATTTTATAATGTTTTGTTTTGATATAATTAAATGAAACTGATAAATGTTTTATATGGTATATCATTATAAAAACGAATGAGAACTTTCGTAAGAAAACTAAATCCATCATTTATAAGAAATTTAATTACGTTTTATGGTATATCAAAAATCTTTTTGTTGTATTTACTCGTGATATTGCTTGAGAAATGGTATCATTATTGATAGTAAGAAATATAATACATACTTATGTTACACAAGTTTTTGATTTTAAAGTAAATTGCTTTTTTATTGAATTATGGCTTTATTTACACAGTTTATTTTCTATTCTTCTTTTCAACAGTGTGACATAATCCAAATGTCAAAACTATTTGACAGTGACTAGTGCCTGTGACGTAAGGAAGTGACAATCGGAAACATTAACTTAATATGTCTTTTGACATTAAATTTCGCTCTTTCCTCACCTATATTTTGATCGGCCCAAGATCTGAGCTCGCCAGAACTTACGTAACTAACTTCTGTAGCCTGAATAGTAAGCGGCTAATCAGATTATTTGACTCATCATTATCGAGCATCTAAAAACAAACAAATACTTTTAAAGTATGTAATGTTCTTTCGCAAAAAGATTTATATGTGTTTTGTTATATAAATGTTGATTTTTGTTACAAACCTGTGAAATATTTCTTTATTTATGAAAATAATGTATCGTATGTGTATATAAGCGATGTATGTAATTCGAAAGTATAAAACATACAGAAAGTATAGATGCATTGAAATGTCTTCTATACTTTTAGAATTTAGATAATAAAATCAATCTCGAATGGAATACTTAAAAAAATGCATATTAATCCCTCTGAAGTAATGTTTAAACTAGTCTTAAATTCAATACTAACAATAATTACGTGTTAATTATACATAATAATTTACTTAATAGTGATAATTTTCTTATATATGTATATATTGTTCCAGGGTTCTCATCCCGACAGTTTGTACCGCGTGTCTTCAGAGGAAGCTGCTAGTTCAGACCGGTTGATGCGCGCCCTACGTCTACTCCGCTGGCCGCTAGCGCTGTTCACAGTCTGCCTAGCTTTAGCTGCCTTTGTGTACTTTTTGATGCCAGGTAAAGTATATTACGACTTTTAATTGACAATATTGAAGAAAATTATATATCAAATGGTGTAACTGCTATATGATAACTTCGTATCGCCCTATAATCAAGAAATATCTGTTACGTTTTTTTATTAATATTTTTGGAGTTTACCTATTAAAGCCATAAATCTCCGTGTTTTGAAGTGCGACAGAATGATTGACATATTAGTTAGTTGTCAAATCTAATGTCAAAAAAAAACCGTTTGTATCAACAACTACTAATAAATTAAAAAATAATTAAAAAAACATTATCCAGCGGACAAAATTTTAAATCTAAACAATTCCCAGATCCCCTTGAACACACCCAAAAAATTTCATCAAAATCGGTCAAGTCGTTTGAGAGAAGTTCGGTGACATACACACTCACACAAGAATTATATATATAAAGATTTCAAATGACTGTACATTTTTTTAAAGATTTAATGTTATAGTTATATTTCTTCGAAGACTTATACAACAAGATGTCGGTAACTTGATGGCAATGATTGTACATTTTGTCTTTCCTATTCGTTGTTCATTCTTTTCCCTAAAACAGTCAGTTAACCCGTCACTCACAGACTTTTCGATATGTACGCAATCAAAATGGTAAATGTCTTATAATAAAAACATTGACAATAAAAAAAAAAACAGTTAGTAATTACCTTTTTTTAAAACATTTTTGAGTGAAATTTATAAAAATATTTTCATAAATTTATATTATTAAAATGAAATTTTCTTTTTTTACATTTATGTTAAAGAGACATTTTATAGTTCAGAAATATTTAATCTACCATCGGTATGAAATGTCACTAAAATTAAGATTCAGAAAATGTTTTAATCAAACCTACTAAAGCGACAATTAAATTGTACCGAATGTTGCTAACCTACTTTAAAATGGCAGAGTTGAAAATTTGCAGCACTGTTTAGATGACTTCAAACCGGTCATCTGTACTGAGATTGGGTAATTCCTATAAAAGCATCTTTCTATGCAATCGAAAACTTGTTCGACGGTAATAGCTTGGGTAAATTGTGATATGCGTGTGGTCCATAGAATGCTGTATTATCTCCAAACTAGTTTGCTATTTCCATTAACAAATCGATAGCGTGCAAGACTGATAAATGTGCACATAAATCCTTGCGTGTAGCGATGCACAAAATTAAATACATAAATAACAATTTAAAATTTATTCCTGACACCACCTTACAGCTTTTATATTCACGTAGAAAGCCAGATGATTACCAAAAGCGACTAAAATTATCTTTTCATTTACGTTATCTTCCCACCGGGATGACTTATAAACGTATTTAACGGAAATTAACCGAAAAATTTACATATGACCTAGTTCATTTCCCTTTTACAGCTCATAATACTGATAAAAATACGATAATTATCTGAGCGAGGGCTTGTAAGGGGATCGTAAATAACTTTCTCACCAATTACAATCCTTTACCTAGACAGCCGTGGCTTTGATCTTGCATTAACCCAACACTTTCTCATATGTGGTGTTTATAGCCAATTTTAAGAGTCATAATTTCATAAGGCATCATAAAAACATTTTAACAGTGCCCTGCTTAACTTAAGCTTTGAATTGACCGTTTTTTTTGAGGATAAAACGAAAGTTGACCTCAGAACAGCCATTGTACTCCATTGTACATAATACATGAATTTTACACAATGACACTTCAGATCAGACTTTTCTCTTTTTTTTTGTATATGGCAACACATAATGAAGTTTTTAATAACTTCAATTAATACGAGTTCCTATTATGGCTACAGAATTATTAATATTTGCAATTTCCATTGAATAACAGTCCCTTAACGTGTTTTCGTTTAAATTATAGAAGTGTGGTGTTATATGAAATTGCTTTTAATTATCTTTGTATTACCTTAAGATATAATAACGTAATGTAAGCCAGACAGCAGCGAGTCGGTTTTACAGTTCAGCTAAGTATTCTGACATCAGAACTATTAAGTTATTACACAATCACAATTTATGTAACATATAATCATAGTAATTATGTTCTTAAGTTTTCTAAGGACAATTTGAAACTTCAATAACTATTTTCAGTAACACGTGACTCATTCTAAGCGAATTTATTCGTCTTGTCGTTATAAAATATAAATAAACATTTAATAGGTTATGGGAATAATTATATTATCAATCAGATGTATTTTTTCAATTTGATAAATAATTTACATAATGAGCAGAATTACAGCATCTGCAAGGATAATTATACTATAAAATATATATTTTTCAATATAGTTAGCTAATGTATATTACTTAAATATTGATACATATGATTTTGTCATCGAGTGTATTAGTATTGCTACTGACGTTAATGGTTCTCATCGTGCCACTGACTTTTTGAACCCTTTCACAAGCTCACGTCCTCGGATCCTCGAACTTCCTTCATTTACACAATATTAATATACCTAGATGTTTATATTGAGTAACTAGTACCTGTGTTATGCAAAATATATACCGTTAGCATTGGTCAGAATTACGACGGGGTTAAATAATTAACATAATATATCAATCACTAATTTTATCTAAAACGAGACGATCAATCTAGCACAAACGTGTAATAGTTTTAAGCAATGATTTGAAATATAATTTCTATGTTAATGAAAAATAATTTACATGTTTTTTTTGTTGTGTTACAGTTAATATGGATTCCGAAATAGACGTCGTGAACGCAACGTTTTGGGAGGAGAGTATATCGGAGGCGCAATCACATAGTGCTCCAAAAATATCGAAGAATCCGAACGATGAGAAGAAAACGCGACCGCTGGGTATGGCCTTTCGATACTATTACGAAATTAGCAATGTCCTGACGGTATTTCACTTTGTTGCGTGTGGGTTCTATGTGCAAATCACTTGTGTTTTTAGTACACCGGTTGTTGTTTAGTATTCTATGTTACAAATACACAGTCTCATGTCCCGTGATGTTGCTTATGTCTAATTCATATTCAATATTCAGGTAAGACACCGGAAATCGACTTTTATGACGCTGATAACGGTAACACGAATGATTTAGGATCGATAGTTGATATGGCAGGACCGAACAGAAAGTTGCCCGCGCCACCAGTGTTCCCCAGTCACGTTTCGCTTGAAGTGCAATATGGAAACGAAAAAGCTGATTCGGATAAGGCGCGCATGTCCAAAGTTCTTAAAGAAACTGAGGATGAATCGACTTTAAAACCGCATATAACTCAGAAACCAGAAAAACCATTAGCTATCTACTTCAAAGATACGAATAGCATCACGACATCAACGGACGCTGGATTAATAGCAGAGACATTCACAAATGCTGAATCCTCAAACGATATCGCTATATTTTTGAAGAAACAACCTAACAAATTAGTGGAACAAAACAAACTTCATCAAACAAATCCTTCTTCGTTCAACAAAAATGATATCAAGACGCATTTAATTGCTCCCGAAGTGTCAGAGTACTACGTCCGTCCAGCTGTCAACAGCGAAGTTAAATTCACATCAGGTCATTCTAAGTTCTTTGGTATTTCTATAGAGGACGCCCAAAATATGAAATCGACGACTCAAAATTCACTCTATAACACCAGAGTATCGCCCACTCTGCCGACCTGGAAAGACAGAGGTGACGCCACAACTAAAAAATATCCCATTAACTACGACGGTAAGTCAAATCTTCATGAACTATCGAGAACGCTTTAGGTGATGGTTTAAACGATTCTATTTAAACTGGTACGTAAATTCATACAGTTTATTGTATTCATTCACGCACAATATGCACTTAAATTTTATTTCATTCTTATATCTGTAACCGTACTAATATCGTAAATTTTACACCATACTTTATTAACATGTCTAACTTTTGAATGTTTGTATTAATTTTCTGTTAATATTTCATTCATTGAATATATTTAGGAGTTTTACTTGTTTGTGGAGCTTTTTATGAGTCTATATAATGTTCGCAAAATTTTACGATAACCCAAAGCTCAGTTACAGCATGAAGTATCATATTTGCAAACCTTCTCATATACAGCTACAGAATGCATTTTTTTTGCCTACATATTTTCGTCTAATAGTGACGTCATCACTATCCTTCCAGCTCCCCAATGTCGTTCAACTCGTCTGTCTATCTGTCGTGGTGTTCTTCCCTACGACCTGGCCAGCGCCCCAGCCTCAATCGCCATGACGGACGTCACCACGCTCCTACCACAGATAGAGTACCTCGTGAGCACAAACTGCAGTGAACGTGTCAGACACTTCGCTTGCTCGTTACTTGAACCCGAGTGCAGCCCACCACCGTACACACCGAAACTACCCTGCTATAATTTCTGCAAAGGTACATAAAGCATATTATTCATAGTAAAATTGACTTTTTGCTGAATTTTTATATAGACAATTGAAATTTAATATTTTATCTCGCATATTTTTACCATAATATTTCCTATAACTTGCAAAAAATCTTAGCAAATGAGTTCTGAAGCTGTTAATTTTAACGTCTTTATATGTAGCATATAGTGGCAAACAATTTTAAATTGACTTACATTTGATTTCTTTATGGACACAATTGAAATTTTATATTTTATTTCACGTTTTTACCATTATATTTCCTGTAACTTGCAAAAAATCTTAGCAAATGACTTACAAAGCTGTTCAGACATTTTTTTCTTTAAGGCGCTAGATCAATTTACTCCTTATTAACGACAGCTTCAAATTCACTTACATTTCAGCAATCGTGGACAGTTGCGAGGGTTATATACCAAGCGAGCTACAGCCAATGTTTTCGTGCAATCAATACTCCACTGGTAACTGCGCCCCCGCCCGTGGTCCGTGCTATCAGCGGGAGTTAGCTTGTGGGACGGGACTTGTGTCCCAAGGGACTGGGTTTGTGACGGGACAAGGGACTGTCCCGCCGGTGAAGATGAAGCACCGTGCTCAGCTTGCGGGGATAATGAGTACCGGTTAGTATTAAGTGAAAAGCAAGAAGGACATTGGGAGGTAGTTAGAGAATTATATGAGACTCGTGAAAACATAAAGAAAGGATCATGAAGAGAAAAATGTGTGTTTAATTTTGATGATTTCTATTTATTATATAGATTTAAATTTAAATGAACTTTTTTTATTTAAAAGTAAAGCATAAAGAATATGATAGATCTTAGTCATTATACTAGTCTTCAGTATGAATTGAAGCTAATGACTTTGAAAGCGTCCTTCCATTTTATGCCATTTGTTGAGTCGCAAAAATATCCAATTTTAAAGTATATTATATAAATAATATCAATTACAGCTGTAGCTCAGGGATGTGCATTACCAAACGGTGGTTATGCGATGGTTACGCGGACTGCGCTAGTGGGGAGGATGAGAGAGAGGAATTGTGTAGAGGAAGATTAAGGAACGGTCTGCTGAGGAACAGACAGCAGAATCTAGCGGGGAGATACGAGGGAGGGGAAGACACACACGAACCGGGGGAGGAACTGGCGGGATCCGCACCAGCGCCATCTGTGAGGAAACCGAATAGATTACCGTACGGAAGGAATGGTAATTTTATATGTATTGATATTTTTGTGGACACTTCTTTATCAATTTACTTATTTGGTTATTGAATAATTTGAAATACCATAGCTCTATCATATATTGTAGAGAAAGTAGGGAAATCAAAAGTGAGCTGATAAAAATAAAATAGATAGAAGATTGTATAGAAAAACAAATTTGTAGAAATAACATTGAGTTCTAGATATATATCTACTTTTATTGAATTATTAGATCCTGATTCAGGTTTTTTACTTTGTTTGAAGAACAGATTACTTAGAGATAACATGCTTTTGCAGGTGAAAATGAAAGCAGCAAGGAATTGCTCATGACGAGTGACAGCAACAGCGGCTTCAGAAGAAACTACACACGAAGACCATCACCGTCGCGTCTCACGCCATACAAACGATTACAAACCATAACACAGATGCAGGAGAAGACGTCCTCTGAAGAAGAGAAGGAATTACTGTTCTTAGAGACGTCACTCACTAAACAAAACAAACAATAAAAATACGACCAAAGATAATGACAAGAAGGATTCGGCGGAAGATTTGACTTTAGATGATCTGGGCTTATTCGACATTGATATCAAGAAAGATAAAGCGATAGAAGTCAATAAGACGGAGATTCACACAGAGAGAGCAAACTCACAAGAAGTGCCTATTAATAAACAAAGTATGGTAGATGAACCCACACACACGTCCGTAGCAGTAAAGGTGAATCAAACGATGAAGAAATTAGACCGCGTTATAGACGGGGCGTCCATGTTGAGGGTGAGCCGATCAGGTTTCATTATAGTAATAAATAGAATTAGAGAATACCAGTAAAGAATAAGAGTACAAATAATTTCGTCAATAATATACTATTACATCTTAATTCATAATAATACTGTTGATTAGGAAACTAATAATTTTTACATTAAAACTTTATCTCCAGAAAGCAGCTAAAGAACGTCAAGCTGACATCATGGAGTCCATCGAATCTAACGGAACAGCTTGTGGACAACTCAGAAGACGTAGGTTACAACAGCGCCCACGCTTCGCCCTGTCCCAGCAGCGAGCTACGCTGTGTGGACGGCAGATGCATCACACTCGCACAGCTCTGCGACGGCACCATCGACTGCTCCGACCACGCGGACGAGGACAACTGCTACACGTGACGCGACCCCCCGCCTTATATACCCGGTCACACGACCACGCTATTCGAATATAGAATACATACATGACATACATTGAGGTAATGCAACTGGCGATTTATAATTCACATTCAAGATCAACTAAAAATAAATATCGGTTTTAAATTTGGAATCCTCATAAGACACATTGAAGCTGAAAATAATGTTATTAGTAAACGCGATTTTGAATTTAGAACATAAAATCAGACGGTGTGAAAAATGAAGCTGAAAAAAATTAAAAAGAGAGGATTTTGAATTTAGAATCATTTTTATATTTATATAGAATTAGTTTTTTAAAATTCTGATTAGTTTTTGCATGAGTATGTTTTATAGGTATTTTCTTTCTTAAAACTCAATGTTTATTTTTATGCCATTATTATCATACTAGAGTAGATCATTTAGCCATTAAAAATCCAATATCAGTCTGATTTATTAAAACGGTACTTTTTTTAAAACATAGTTTTTTTCTGAATTTTCTAGAATCATGTTATATACTTCTTCATTATGTATTGCTAAGATCTAGGATAGTTACATAATCGAATATTTGCTACAGATATTTTATTGTATAAGCTGTGATAAAGCAATGCATGTTATTGGTAAAATTATGTTAAGTTTAGGATAGGACATTTTTTTTTGCCTTTGTTACGTCACAAAATATTCATCTTCCATTATTATTCCATATTTAAATATAACTAATAATTAATTATTAAGTATTACTAAGTCTAAGTTCTGTGCCGTTTTTTTTTTTTACTTTTTCATTTTCTAGTTCATTAATGAGTTAAGGAGTTTCTTGTAAATAATTTTAGGCTAGGTTTATTTATTATCTACAGATTCTTATGAAATTCATTTAAAATGTTATATCTGCATTAATATTAATGTATTTGTTTTATTTTAATTTATTAAATCCAAAGTAACGTCATAATACCAGATTTTTTATTATGTTAAGAAACCGTCCAGGAAATTTTAATATAGAGTTGATAGTACTTATGTACTTTGTAGCTTGTAAATAAGTATTTAGCTTAAAAAGCGAAATTTTAGTATAAGTAGTGATAGGAACTTTTGTAATTTTGTAACTTAAATAAAGATTTTGCTCTGTTTCTGAACTTTTACTTCATATCCTCAAAGACGTGAATGTTAAAAATGTTTAGGTATATAAAAAATTAAAAAACTGCTGAGATAATTTAATGAGAATTAAAGTTACCAGAAACAATTACATTATTTTAATACAAAATGACAATTGAATGTAATTGTCAAATATTAAAAGATAATATAAGATCGAAATAAAACCTTTTTTATATACCTTATCAATCATACAAACTATAAAGCATAATATATTACATTTTGTATTGAGTAAATCACATTAATAACGATTAAATATAAATTTCAAAGGTCAATAACTTTATTATATGGCGATTTAATAAGTTATGTACTGAATCTCCTTTTGGCCCTCTCAAAATAACTAAAATGTAAATTAACCATTGGGTTGTATAGACGCAATAGGTGGTTAGTACATATACGAAATTATTATTTAAACCTATTAAAGGAATTTATTGCGAATTTGTAAGTCTGTTTATAAAAAGAAGGTATAATTATATATATTATATATATTTTTTTATACTCTTTATTGTACACCAATATAGACAGAAATAATAAGAGAAAAACAAAGAATATACAAGATTAAAGAGGGAATTTTTTAAATTAATTTATTTTGACATGTAACTTAACAAACATCTAAAATAATTTAAGTAGAATTTAAAAATAACTACTTTCAAAAAAATCAGCTTGCGACTGTTTTTTGATCACAATACTTCCGAGAACAGAAAAGTTTTGTCTCGTATAAATTATTATTAATATTATTAAAAAAACTGAATTTTGAGTATTTATATAATTAAACCAATTAGTTATAGGAGAATCATATTGTACAATTCATTTGAAATAAGACACCCACGATTATCCGACATCGAAATGTTTTTGTCGTTAGTAAAAACATAAAAATAGGACTCCCAAGTTTATTTCTTTGTCGATAGTAATTTGGTTTGACAAAACTAAAATTAGTAACGTTTCAAGATGTCCATTGAGCAAAAACTTTGGCCAACGATGCTATCTGTTACCGTAACTAGATCTATGACTAATTCCTCAAATCTTGAGTCACGGGGTTCATTGATACTTATATAATTACTATAAAATTCATACTTCCGCGGTTCTGTAACCGTTTGAGTATGTCCGCATTAGTTACGGTGACTCATTCTCAAAACAGATTTATCTCAACCCTTATTCCGAGTTCGCAACGTCATAATACGCAGCGTTAGCAGTATTTCATTCATACAACTTCGGAAGTATTGACTTAGAAACGGTTGGTTAGTAGTGATTATGAAAACTCGTACTAAAGATGCACACGTCATTATAAAAGTTTTGTTTTGTCTCGACTATATGTATATTTAACCAGAATTTACTCAAAATATTTTGAAAGTCACTGTAACTGATTATTAATTATTACAATCTACTTCTACCTGGCAATTTCCCAGCTTTAGCCAGGGTCTGCCTTACATGTTGTGAATATTTTCGTCTAATTGTTTTTACGACCGGCCGCCTGCCTGACATCAACCCTCTATGGGAATGCATTAATCAGTGATGTCTAAAACTCTAAATACTTGGCACTTGGTACTTGCCAGGAACGAACCCGCACCCTCGTGCATGAGAGGCGGGCCTTTTAACCACTAGGCCACCACTGACTTATTTATTACTTATTTTATTACGTATTATTACAAAATTTTCAAGAGAATAGCAATTTTATGCTTCCTGATTTATTCCTTATATGTTGAACGACAAAAAAACTTGGATTTAGCTTTACTTTATTTCGCAGTTGGATATACTTGTTTTGTTTCGGTTAATTGAGGTCAGGCGACTTCCTTCACTGCAATGCCACTATGTAAATACAACTTACAAGTAACAGTAGGAAACTATATAAATATTAAACACATATATATACATTCCTATAAATATATGTGTGTGTGTGTGTGTGTGTGTGTGTGTGTATGAGGGCGTGTGTGTGTTTTATTATTGTATTTATTGAATATTCACTGGAAGCCATAAATAAGCTCGGAGGTTAATTTGAAGTACATCAGGTAGCTGGCTACTGAAATATTTTTACATACATAATATTAATAAATTTTGCGGCAGACCCTGGCTAAAACTGGGAAATTGCCAGGAAGAAGAAAATATTTAATACATTTTGCATGAATTAATACACAAAAATAAATCCATCCAGAAATTTATTAAGATGAGAAATGTACTAAAGCAGTATTGGCAGATGCTTGTAATGTTTTAAAAACATATTATTATCTATGTTATAAAATATTGTTATATAATTTTAGATGAATTAAATTTATAGTACAATTAAAAAAATATTATCATATATTTCTATTACACATATTATAAAAAAGTCTTATTTAATAACATTATTTAATATAAAAAAACAACAATTTAATCGCTATTTTTTGTTTGCATCACATTCGGAACATTAATAGTTTTTTCACACACACTATTCACGTAGCGTAGATGACTGAATTAGTTATTAGAAACGCGTGACGCTTCGTATGTAGTCTGATTATTCAAACTTGTATTAGAAATATCGTATGCTTAACGTTATTTTGAGTTACATATTTCAAATTATCTCATATTATTGATGTTGAATTAGTTTAGATTAAAAAAGTATACATAATGAGGAAACGAATTTTCTATCGCTATTTCTATCTCAATATTCATATAAGAATTAATTATAGGTAAGGTTTTTGTTTATTTATTGCAAGTACAGTTACTACAATGTGAAGCAAAAAATATAAGCAAGAAATATTGCCATATTCTAACTGAAATTATTGTACGAAATTTACGCCGCTAAAGCTTTCTTGCAAGCACATAAAAATAATTTAAATTAAGAACAAAATTAGTGCAGTACCTACACTTATAATTATAATGATGTATTATTTTTAATGTATAGTGAGGTGACACGCTCAAGGTCAATCGCAAGGAAAACCGGTAAGGGTGAATAAATACTGAATAAGGAGTTCAGTCAGGTGTCATCGGCCGAAGGTGGTAGAAAGCGATGACTCAACGCGGCCCCAGTTACCTTGAGCAGACTGGCAACTGACAAATTATGTATACTTATAATAATAGTTACGCTTGCAAGAACTTTGCTCCTATTTGGATATATTTATGCATTTTATCGAATAGATACTTAATAGTTTTATGATGCATATTCTAGTTACGAATGAATTAAGAGTAATTTACCATCACTCGTATTTAAGCGATATATATTTAGATTAATCTACAATAACACGTTAGGTTATTTTGTTTTCATTCATAGTATAGTCGTCAAGTTGTCTAAGATCGTGCCATCTTTATACCTAGTATGGATTCTAACAGGTTAAGAATGAAAGTAAATAAACACGCGCGAGGTGGAAAAACATGGAGTCTCGTAAGTTGATACACCACTTTAATCACACACTTTCTAAATAGCGCTCGAACATAAAAAGACGATGGAAACAACACATTATGCCACGACTCAATCTGTTTTTATTTTATTTTCTGTTAATTTCAATTAAATATAATGTATGAATAAAAACAGAAAACAAAAAACCGAGGATAATTCTTTAAAAAATTACAAATTTATAAGACATTATGTCCTTTCGTTGTTGATGCTATTAAATACTTCTAATGTAAAATATCAAAGTATTAAACATATACCAAAAACCACAAAAACTTATACGAGATAGTGTTTTGCAACGCTTATTCAAAATTTGTTTTAAATTAGATATATTCTGACAGAGTTATTAGTTATTTTAATTCTGATATATTAGAATATTAAAATAACATGTGACATAATTTGTAAGTATTACGCAGATGTCAAATTAAATTCTGATATTCAGATCAGGTCGTTTAAATAATATATCTTTAAAATGAGTCATCTCTCGTTTGCTGCTAAACAATAAGTTTAAAAATGATCTCAGTCTTTTAGGATTCCGTACTAGTAATGTTTACAACTTTTATTTTATTTTTTCCTAATTATAGCAGTTATCTCTTCCAAAACCAATCGGTGGATTCAAGATAGGATATCTAGTTGAGATGGATAAAAAAATAGTATTGTAAATCAATAACTATCATAAAATTGATATAAACATATGACGTTATTTTTTAATAGTTATCTAGTAAATTTTGTAATTATAAATAAGACCAGCTCTTATCTAATGTACTAGATAAAGTGTTGTGACTAATTTTTTATTTACCGATGTAAATCTAGTAAATAGCCTCTTGAGTCCACTTCAAAATAAAAATAGTGTTGTAGGGAATGCGTACTACTTATGGCATTGCTGAACTGAGTACGCTAGCTGGTGATTCATTTCTCGGAATTGACCTTGCTATGAGTCATTCGCTGGAAGGCAGAGTCGGGGATACCGCGCCTGTCTGCCGGTTGCTTTCTAGACGCTCTCCGTTCACTGCGAACGCTTTTATGGATAAAGTATTTTATTCTAACTCATAATTCAAAATTGTATTTAAAAATGTGCTTCTTAAAAAAACGTAAGAAATTTTTTTAATTTGTTGACTATAATATTTTAATATTTTGGTGTGTTTCCTAAGTTGGATACCATGATAACAACCATGACGTCATTCATATTATTGAAGGTAAGTTATTGTGATTTACTGTATATTGTAATAAGTTTATGAATTATTAGAAACTGTTAATAATTTTGATTTTATGAGAATTTCAAGAAAAAATATATTGGTCTCTTATTTGACTAAAGTAGATAGTTGACGTTTGACGTTTACTATTTTGTTTCTCAATACAGAAGTAGGATAAAGATTGTCTGTCTCTTTTTTTCCGCTTATAATCTCTATAAACAAGACAGAGATCACAAAGTTATAATAGAATTTAAAATATTTAGGTTATTCAAATGTATTTGCTGTAGGTTAGAGAGAAAGAAAAGACAAAGTTTGTAATTTTGTCGAAAAGAAGTTGTGTTTTGTGTTATGATTTATGACAAAAGTTTATAAATGTGCTTACGAAACAAAAAGTAATTTAAACGTAAACCGAGGTATTCAACATGTTGAAATTATTGTGATATTTTCGAGAAACTTTAACAGATATATTCGATCATCTGTAGTACTGACACTTGTTGAACAACTTCAACTTTTCAGACAAACTCTTTTTTTTTGAGAATGAATAGAGAGGATAATGTAAACTGGTTTCATGGGAAAATATCTCGGGAAACTGCTGAGGAACTTTTAAAAGAAGGTTGGTTTTACACTTTACTTTTGACAACTAACTTTTTCATAGCTTTTCTAAGTTTGGTTTTATGTTTCAGAGGGTGAAGATGGTGTTTTCTTAGTTCGTGAAAGCAATACTTCTCCTGGGGACTATGTATTGTCTGTTTTACACCAGGTAACCTTTTAAAAATAAGTTTCATTATCATACTTTGGGTGTAATACGAAATGTAATTAGTATGAAATAATAAAGATTGTTGGAGTTATAAATGTTATGTTTGTCTGCGGAACTTCACATACTTGTTATAACACTAATATTTATAGTTAAAATATACATAATCGATTTAAATACAATTGATTATATAGATTCCAATAATATTATAACATAAAAAGTCATAATGACCTTATATAAGATACCAAAAAACAATCATGACATTTATAAATTTTGTTTTAGGGAGAAGTAGCACATTATCAAATCCGTCGGCACAGAGAAGATGCATTCTTTTCAATAGAAGAACACACAACGGTTCACGGTTTGGATACACTGATACAACACTATCAGGGAGATTCAAATGGCCTGGTTACTCGGTTGGCAGTGGTTTGCAAGGGACAGCCTCCCCCACATGAATCTAGAACACAAGGAACCACAAATTTGTTGCATCGGTAAGTAAATTCTAGAAATAAAGCTAGGTATGGTTAGACAACTAACCAATACGATGGTATAAAGCTATATAATTTGATCTAAGTATAAAACATGCTAATTTTAGGTTGCAATACATTTCACATTAAAGGAGTTATGTAAATTTCCCGAGCATAAACAAAATAATGAATCATTGTATTTTTGTTTATGTTATGTAAATATTGATTATTACTATGTATGTAATATCATTCTACATTGCTTGATAATGACAGCCAATACAAATAGATGTTGAAGGAGGAAGTTCTATTAAGAAGTGAGCTACACAAATTGCCCTTAATTTTACTTTGTTGTTTTATTGTTTGAATGGAGTCGAGAGTGGTTATATCGAATGGGTTGTTATTAGCATATTGTTATGAACTTTTGATGTATTTATTAAATTATATATATATATTTTATATAAATTATAATATGGACAAAAAAAAATGATTTTTTTTATAATATTGACATAAAAACACAAATTAATAAATTAATTTTGCTTCCAATATAAAAACTAAGTTGATATATTTTTCCAACAACTATTTAAATGTAATAAGTCTTTACTATTAGGGCTCTAATAAGTTTTTGGATGAATGAGCAAAAAGTTAGCATACCAAAAGGTCATTGCCCTTACAAGCATTTCATTGGGTGACAAACTGTAAACATTGGTATATATTGATGATATCCTGTGCATCAGACAATATTAAGAATATCAAGATTACATATGTGTTAAGATGATTTACTCTGACCGTGAGAACAGTTTAGTAAGAACCCATTTGTTTTTTTTAAACTATGCCTTCATTTGAACTGGAATCATAGTATATTCTGCCAATGTCAACAATTTTTAGTTTTTGGATGAATTATAATCAACCCATTAGTTGAATACAGATAATATAGTATGCCAAGATTTATTACAAAATTCAACGGAACAATATGAGACTGTTAACATGTGTTGAAAACATTATTGATATCTGTTGGTAATTTTTTTTATAGAAATATAATTATACATAATGATTCTATACAATTGTTAAAGGAAGGAAAGGAACAATAAAAAAAATAATTTAACATTAAAGGAAGGAAGGATTAAAGGAACAATTCTTTCCATAAAAAAAATTTTACATTAGAATTTAAAATAAAGATAAAAGGTTTACATCTTTTTTTATACAGGGTGACTGTAATAATTTTCGATACTCGAGGACGTGATTTTGACGATCATAATGATTTAGTGTTCTAGTAAAGTTAACACCAAAAGCTTTAATTTTACGCATATTACAAAGAATTTTACATTAGTAAACAAATGATGTCATACTTTAATTTATACGAGGTAAAAATTAAGTACCTATTTTTTTTACATAATTCGTAAATCATGGACCGAGTATCTTACTATTGATAGTAATTCTCCATCACCCTGTATAGATGTTTTTTCTTATTCTAATAATTAAATGTATTTTTTTTATTATCTTAGATTATTTCTTCTCTAACATCAATTTTATTACATTGGCCATATTAAATTTAATATCATAATGTAATAATGAACAAGAAATGTTACATTCACACTGTTACAAGTGAACAAAAACAAAGCCTATCACCTACTTAATGACAGTAGTATAAGTCGTGATAGACTATTGAGTAGTAGTAGTAAGTAATAGTCTGTTACTTAATGAGAAGTATATTACAAAAACAATCTCATATATATGAATTCTTATTTGGTTGTATTCTGATATTGAATTCCAATTAAAATGATAAATGCTATTTTTATATTACAATTGAAATATGAAATTGACAAGACAAAAACTACTTATAAAGATATTTTTAATATATTCTAAACAATCTTTTGTTGTTGAATTGTTTTTATGTCTTTTTAATCTATATGATTAAAAAATATACAGTAACAGACTAGATGCAATGAATTTTTCATATTGATATTTATTTAAGATTTTTTAGGTCTGTCTAAAGTTATACATCTAAATGTAAAGTCTAGATTTATGACATTCCAAACAGATTTTGATCTGCTATTTATATTTTAATTATAGCAATTATATATTGTGTAAGTCTTACGATTATATATATGAAAGAATGAAAGTTTAGTGTTTTTATAGGCTGGATATGATATGATATTCTATGGAATATCTTTTTTTATAACAAATCGTTTATTGTTGAATCGTATACAAAAACGTGTACATTTATAACAAAAATGTATTCTTAATATGAAGATTACTTAATATTTATATGTGTTAATTATCTGGCCTCATACATGCTAATGTTCACAATTAATGATTCATATTCAAACACAGATGTCTTGTAGTTTAATGTGATGTTAGAACATTCTCAGCACATGACTAACAGTATCTGTGGAAAACATTATGATAATTGTATTGTATGAATGTTTTTGGTGTTAAAACAATTTATTGTCTCAAATAATTGTAGAAAATTCTTATTTTTTTTTCTTGTTTTGATATTAATTCGTAAAATTGCCATGTATTAGGTACATATGTGTTAACAAAATATTATTTCGATTACACCAGGGCAACAGAAGCCGGGGACTACAATATAGTGTCGCAATTGTTGGCATGTGGCTACCGTAGCCGTGATGCGAAGAATCAGGATGGTCAAACAGCTGTTCATATAGCGGCGAGGGCGGGAAGAGATAATATATTGGAAAAACTCATAGAGAGTGGCGCCACTGTCAACGTGAGGGACTCGTTTGGGTATACACCGTTACATGTTAGTATCACGATGAATTTTAATTTGGAATTATTTATATCCCATAAAATATTCCGAAGCTATCAACCAATAGGATTGCTTCATTTTTTTTTTTTTTGGAATAATTTCAAAAAGCAAGGAGGTTTTACTCAGTTTTTTTGACATTTGGCTAATGTAAGAACTGGTTGGAACGTATTTTTTTTAATAGTAAATATACTCTTCGAGAATGTTAATGTTAATTGAACGTAAAAAGCCGTTGCAAATCGACCGTTAAATTAATTTTTCTCTTGATATTTGCATATTCTAATCACAGATAAGGTGCAACTTGGTTCAATCATGAATTTCAAAAGGTGTTACTCTGTACTAATATGTTATTTATTTTAAAACATGAGTATAATGACTTCCTTTTAGAATTCACTTATTATCATATTCAAATGAGTGTTCGCTTGGGAATAAAAAAAAAAGTACAGAATACAATATCGATATCTCATTTGGACTTTGAGTAATGCAATGATTATTGTGACTAATGGTAATGTTAAAATAATTTATATGGAATTCGATTAAATATCAAGTGACCATGTTTAAGAGAGCCGTGCGTAATACAGCAATTCACGCAGGAAATTGCCTCAGACGCTGTTAAACTGGTTCGAAGCTTACAGGTTAACGTAATAGGTTGCGTAACTTATAATATTATTTGTTATTGCAGTATACCTGTCAAAACAACTTGCCCAGCACCACCGAACTTCTCATAACTAAAGGGAATGCCAACTATCAAATGAGACACGCTCCTACTGGGAAAATGCCCCTTCACGATGCCGCCCAACGTGGATATATAGATTGTATCAAAGTAAGCAAATATTAAACTAAAAAATCCAAAATGGCGGAGCTATTACCTGAATTTTCTAACGATATTTTTCTACTCATCATTTGGAAAAGTGTGTTGTGTTATTATCACTGATATACAAATAAATCCGCATTGATTTTAATTAGTTATTGATATATAGATTTGGAACATTTTTGCTTATATCTATTTACTTAATTTTCTTAGGTGCTGTTGAAACTCAAAGCCCCAGCTCATCCAAGAACCTTGTCCAAAGAGACTCCAGCACAACTCGCGAAGAATAACGGACACACAGAATGCTATCAACTACTGAGTAAGTTGTTAAACAGAATATTCCTTCATCATCGACCTATCACTGCTGAACAAAAACCTCTCACATGGAGAAGGTTTGAGCATTAATCAACACGCTCGCTCAAGACGGGTTGGTGATTTCAAACTTATAATTGTGAAATTAAAAACCCTCATAGTCTGGACTGTCTCCTTTTGACTGCACACAAGTTTTATATCAATTATATTTATTTTTGTAATGTTTTTTGTATATCCTTTTTTGTATTTTTTTTCCATGTTTGGTCACGATGTTTTCCTTCACTGTCTGTCATTATAAATGTTTTTAAGGGACTAAATTTAATGTTATTACAGAAAACTACAAGCCCGATCCACCGAAAACTTCAAAGAGCCAGTGGTATCACGGTACATTGAACCGCGAGGAAGCCATGCATCAGTTGCAGGAGTACTGCAAGCAGCATTTATCAGACAAATGTTCTGATGGCGTGTTCCTTGTTAGGTACAGCGAGAGACACACGGGCGCGTACGTACTCACCATGCTGCATGGAAACACACCGTATAACTTCATCATCAGGAAGGAGGTATATAAAATTAATTTGTTTATAAAACTTATCTTCTACCTGGCTATTTTCCTGATTTTGGCCAGGTTCTGCCTCACATGTTGTGAATATAAAACAAATATTTTATTTTTGTTTATAAAACTAATATTTTCATATAACTTATATATTTGGATTACTACTGGTTTTTCTATTATTTTTTATAACTATATACTCTCGACGTTTCGGTTACTTTACAGTTTACAGCGACCGTGATCACAGAAAGACGAGATGAGATTCTCATAATAAAATAACGCGTATTAATCCGGAAATATTAGCATTATCTTGAATGAATACTCATGAAAGTCTTAGCTATAATTAATATAATATTTAATTTTAGTTTTTTTTTTGCTACTTTTTTTTCAATAAATTTAGTACTTGTTACATTGAAAGGGTTTATGAATCATTACAGTTGACAAATATCACAAAGTTTTCAAGACAAAAATCGTTTATTTATTATTCATTTTTTATTGGTTTCTTACTGTTCGCATTCCACATCATTAACTAACTAATTAAAAGATTACCATGATACAGAAGCGACTTTTGAAAAAAAAATGATTATAATTCAAAAATAGAACATTAATTAGTTCCTAGACGCTAATAGGACTCATTTTTTTATTTCACAGAAGGACTGGTTGTTCATCGACGATGGTCCATACTTGGAGTCTCTCGAGCGTCTCGTGGAGCACTACAGCAGTGTATCAGACGGGCTCCCCTCACGGCTTACAGTACCCGTGCCGCCTAAACCGAAGCCCCCGCTACCGGAAGTAAGGAAACACATGGAGCATGACTAGTATAACTACTGTTAGATAGATAGGGACCAAAAACAAATATTCACAGATATGGATTCCTAAATTTTTTTTTGTGAATATATCTTCAAGCAATTAATTTTTTTTTTAAATATTAGTTTATTGTAGTATTAAGTTTATTACACAACCATCGTTATATATGTATTTTGGACACAGATACGAATCTTTTCTACTTTCTAATGTCTACTACACAATATATGTATATTTAACTTTTAATTTGAATATGGATTTAATTTTTTCAATAGTTATTAATTGAAATTTCTCAATTTACAGTTCTCTACGATGCCAAGAACAAAGAAGTCTCCAAATCGTGCTCCCTTAAATCAATCTCTATCATTAATGAAACAGGACACATTGAAAGATCAATCAACATCTCTTAACAACAACGCCTTTGAGCTGCTCACTAGAAACTTATCCTTTTCATCCGACTTCAATAAGCAGAGTTTTAACAATAATGATTCAGCCGAAAATGATACGTACAAAGTGCCCGCCAACAACAGCGCTGTGATGACATTGACAGAGAATTATAATGAAATTACTATCAACTCTGATGGTCAGCTCTCGACCCTGCAAGGTAACAATAATATATTATATATAGCTGATATTTACTCAGCTTTATATATATTTTTCATACATATACAATCAAAGTACCCTTAACCCTTTATAGGTTAGAAGCGATATTTTCACCACCATGATTTTTTTTTTAAACCGAAATTTCGTCCACCGGTCGTATTTTTTTATTAAGACAACTCTTTTGATTGCCAAAAGACAGTTTGACAATGAAAGGTTTGAAAAATATATATTTAAATCGTCATCATTCATCATCATCATATTTATATATACATATGTTTTTACTTCTATAATATACCCTTAACCAACATCAATTTTGTTTTTCCCACTGTCCACTCCTTATGACCATTAAAGGGTTAAATCCAAACCATACAGTTTATACTATAAAAAAATGTGTTACAATATTAAACCTTATCACTTTATTTTTTAGTTGTATTGATCATAGAATATATTATCATCATATTACTATCATATAACATTATGTTCCAGAGTTCATTCCGTTCAGTGAGTTGACCCTGGGCAGTGTGTTAGGTGAGGGTGAGTTCGGGTCTGTGTTACGAGCGGTGTACGCTCCTCCAGACCAGCCCGTCGTCCACGTGGCCGTTAAGACGCTCCACGTACAGCATACAGACACTAACAAACAAGAATTCCTCGCTGAAGCCAAGCTGATGATGTCTTTGAGACATAAGTGTATCGTCAGACTCATTGGAGTCTCACTGGTCAGTTGGCTTTATATATTACTAGCTGCGCCCCGCCGTGTAAAGTAGCCTATGTGCTATTCCTGGACGTCAGCTTCCTGTATACAAAATTTCATCGAAATCGGTTCAGAAGTTTGAGCGTGAAGAAGTAACAAACATACATACACACTCAAAAACATTCGCAATTATAATATTAGTAGGATTTTACTAAGTGCCTCTACATGTTAAGTTCATTGCAAAGAGAGGTGATATTATTTTACAGTGCAAATACGTATCGGTTTTAATCTTCTTAAATTATATGTAGTAATAAGAATAGCCTTGTCGTTGGACGGTATTTTAGTTTCGGTAAAGTCCTTCGGTAAAGTATAAGAAAAGGTTTTGTATGAATGTAAACTCTGCAGTATTGATTATTATAAGTATGAATTTCACAAACAATGATTAAATAAGACGATAAAATCTTCTCATGTGGAAAAGATTTGAGCATTAATTACCACGCTTACTCACAATGCTTTTCTTTCTTCTTCTGTCAGTGGCGTCTAAATGCTCTTAGAAAATACATATGACTCGAAAAAATCACATTGGTACTTGTCGGGTTTCGAACCCGCGCCCTCACGCATGAAAGGCGGGCCCTTAATCTTAAACCTCTAGGTCACTATGATCTTTTTTAATGGTATATGCTATATAATATATACATATATTTCAGGGTCCCCCACTCGCGATGGTCCAAGAGCTGGTTCCCCTGGGTTCCGTGCTGCAGCTGGTGTGTCGCCAGACAGTCGCACCTCATGAGCTGCGACTGTGGGCGTGGCAAATCGCGGCCGGGATGAACTACCTCGAGAGTCGACGGTTTGTCCACAGGGACCTGGCCGCTAGGAACATATTACTTGCCACCAGGTATGAAGAAAGATAGCACACACTCACACACACATGTACAAATACACACACACGTACAAATACACGCACACGCATGTAATTTACTTAGTTAGATATCGAAAAATGGACGTCTGCAATACTAATAGTATCAAGATATACTCCGCTAGACTTAAGCTGAGCTTTGCATTTGTGTGAGTGAAAGTTAAATTAGAGTTAGACAAAAAACTTTTAGAATTGAATTTTATTATATTTTTAAAAGATACATAACAGAAGTACTATAAAATAAGCCAAACTTGTAAAAGGCCAGATGGAAATATTATGAATATTATGGAAAAAAAATAGTAATTAAATTTTTTTTTGAAAAAACTATACAATTTTTTCTTCACATGATATTGCGTTTTCAACATTTGATATTGCTATCAGTACAAAGGATGAAGTGAGGAGGGTGCGGGGCGGAAAAAAGCAGAATAAACCGGTTTAAAACTAGAAAAGAACGTGGCATTCAAAAATTTGACATCACACCTACACTGTGTGCACTCACACAAATGTAAAGCTCAGCTTAAATCTAACGCTTTATACGATGTATGTACATCAAAACATGGTCGACCCTTTATGTGAAATATAAATTATTGCTTTACATATAGTAAATGTGAACTAGCTTTGTTGTCAATTATACTGCTGCTCATAAACAAAATATTATTTACAGGCATCAAGCTAAAATCAGTGACTTCGGTCTTTCCCGCGCTCTGTCAAGCGATAGTTCGTATTACAAGGCCAGTAGAGGCGGCAAGTGGCCCATCAAGTGGTATGCGCCAGAGTCATACAATTATGGGACCTTCAGTCATAAGAGTGATGTTTGGAGCTACGGAGTCACATTATGGGAAATGTTCTCTGGAGGCAAACAGCCATATGGAGAGATGAGGGGGATAGAGGTTTGTATACTTTTCTAGGATCCTCTAATATCAGGAACAAAATTATAAGTTTTTAGAGATGATAGAGCCTAGCTGTGATCAGTTACTATAGCTGGAACATGGGCTGGCTCGATCGTGAGAGTACCACCCTCTCACAGAAGATCGGCGTGAAGTAGCCTTTAATGGCTGCGTTTCGTCCGATGAGTGAGAGAGCCGGTTGCCCTTTCCCTATTCCCACCCTTCCCTACCATTTCAATATTTCCATCCAACACTACTTCCGTAAAAACTGAGGTTGGCAACGCATCCGCAACATCTCCTATGTTCCAAATGTCCATAGGCGACGATGCCTACTGCCCATCATGTAGACCGTCTGGTCATATGCAACCTTACTCATTTAAAGTCTTATTTTGATGATGTTATAAAAAGCTAACTGTCAGTACTTACTACTTTAATAATATTGCTTCAATGCCGCGTGTGGATAATTTGTTTTATAAAAATTTGTTTTTTTTAGGCAATACAAGTAGTTGAAAGCGGCCAGCGTCTAGACCGGCCTTTAGACTGTCCAGATGATATATATCAAGTAATGTTGGATTGTTGGGCTTACAGTCCCGACTTAAGGCCGACATTTGGCAAACTTGTCGATGTGTTCTCCAAGCATCCGGAATATGTGAATCTCAGTGAACTAGCCGTGGAAAGTGAAGAGGTTAATGTTTAAGGACAACATAGTGTAATCTACCAGTTTATTATTATAACAAACATGTTTATACAATATTAGGGAAGTGTTTATAATTTTCAACTCGATTTTGGTCCACAAAATGTTTCGCATTTAGATATATGTACAAACAAACAACGAATATGACAAATTTATGTATAATATATTTATAAAAGTTTATATATTGACAATTATATTTAATTACAACCATTATGTGCCTGATAATCAATAGTTAGTATTTTTGTACAAAAAATATATTAAGCTAAATAATCTAAATCATTTGTAACACCTATATTCTGATGAAATATTCATTATACAATCATTGAGTTTATAAAAAAAATATAATGGTTTATGATACTGTTAAATTATATACAAAAATTGTTTATGAAGAGTTTGAAAGAGTTAGATTAAAAAGATGCATCATTAAATTATTAAGTGAAATCAATGTGTATTTTATAAAAAAAAAATATTGTTTTATAATTATTAATCTATGTACTAATTTTATTGTCTTTGTTCCTTATTTTAGTTGGATTTAATTGTTTATCTTTTTTATACTATAAACCATTTGATACAAAGTTTACATTCCTTAGTGTAATCATATAGTTGACGATTTTATATGAAGCAGAGCTGTTTTTATTTGTATCAGAGTTATTTAAAAATATTACAATGTGGTTAATAAGAACAATCTTCATCGGTTTATAGATAATGCCATGAAAATGCCATAAATAGTGTTTTGATGCAATTATTGCCATGAGGTTGTGTTATATATAAAAATATATTAAGTTACCCAAATCATGTTTAGTTTATAAAGAATTTATATTAAATTCTATTGTATGAGTCTGACTAAACATATATATTAATTTAACAAATTATATCAATTTTAAATATGTGATAATGGTATTTTTATGATGAAATAAAATATTCCATAATTTTTCTTAACTTAATATTATTTAAAACTTATTTATATATAAAGTATTTAGATTTAAAAGGAACAAATTATCACATATATTTTACGTATAATTGATTTCCATGTAAATATTTTTTTTATAACATGATTATTTGTTCCTTAATTCAACTTTTTCATTATCATTTTTCTGTCTATCCTATTATAGTGCGTTTGATTTAAGCTGAGCTTTGCATTTGTGTGAGTGCACACAGATAGTGTAGGTGTGATGTCAAATTTTTGAATGCCACGTTCTTTTCTAGGTTTAAATCGGTTTGTACTGCTTTTACTTCGCCCCACACCTTCCTCACTTCACCCTTTGTACTGGTAGCAAAATCAAATGTTAAAAACGCAATGTCAAGTGAATAAGAATTTGTATAGTTTTTTCAAAATTTTTATTAATCAATAAAAAAAAATCCATAATATTATATTACCATCTGGCCTTTCACAAGTTTTGCTTATTTTATAGTACTTATGTTATGTATCTATTTAAAATTTAATAAAATTGAATTCTAAAAGTTTTTTGTCTAACTCTACTTTTACTTTCACTCACACAAATGCAAAGCTCATCTTAAGTCTACCGGACTATACTACACTTTAAAACTGTCAACATGGTTTAAAGAAGTATCCTACAATTTAATAATAGTAATTAAATCTAGATATTAAAATTAATTAAAATTAATTGTTAATAATATAAATTAATGTACATATTTCTCTTATATATTCAAACGACACTCGTTGTATGGCGGCGGAGGTGTTTCTGCTCTATTACCATTTCTAATAGCATCTGCTTGTACGCCGGTTCTGTTTGAAGGGTTTCTGTCTGCTAACTGTCGCCTGAAGTACGGAGGTGTTTCCAGATCAGGGTTTACGACGTTGTTCCAGAGCAAACTACTCCTCATATCCCCATCTGGTAAGTTCGCTCTTTGCCGTCTCGACTGTCGAGAAAATCCAGGGCAACCACACGAGATTCGTAACCAAATATACGTAGCTACGATTCCCACAGCCAAACCAATCTCAAAACCAATGATTAGCGCTTGAAATGCTGAAAACTCTTTATCAAATTTCTCAAATGGTGTCAATGTTTTTGTGTTATTTGGCAACACTGATAATATTAATGTATTGTTCTGATCTTTAGTTATATTCCATACTTTATTTATATCCACTGGCAATACTTCATTGACTGTCATAATCATTTTTTCTGACATTTTAGGTAATTTCTTTTTGCACTGTTTATCGTATTTTATTCGGTGTGACACGATCCATGTCTCGACAGCTATGAAATCTGGGTTGCATTGCCAATAATCATTTCTAAGTTCTATCCTTTCCAGTTTTCTTAGCGGTCGCAACACATCTAAATTTAATGTGACAACGTAATTCTCACTGAGATCGAGCTTCTTTAAATTTGGCAATCTGTTAAAGAGGCGTTCTGGCAAAGATTTAATGCGGCAACTGTTAAGATTGAGCACCTGAAAACGTTAGGATTCTATTAAGAGATTAAAATATTTAAAAAAATAAATTGTTCATACACACAAAACATATATTTGTATAGTATTTAGTTTATCTTATATTTGTTGTTTTTTTACTGTAACTGAGTCGTGATAAGGTTAAGGACGAACGAAGGAAAAGACAAACGAATATTAATTTAATAATACATGCTCAAATTATCGTGTGCCAGTTCTCTTATATTCTAATGGTCTTAGGTTCGAATCCTGTTCGTGTCCAATTTTTAATCCTATATTTCTCTTTGAATTTTAATTCAATAATATAGTCCAAGATTGATTTAACACAATAAATATATAAGAATTAACTTACTTGTAATTTCGTATGCATGATAAATGGTTCATTTTTTAACTTCTCAAAAACATTTGATGATAGATCTAATATCTCTAGGTTCGGTGTGTCCCAAAATAAATCGGAAGGAATGAATCTCAGTCTGTTATTGCTGATGTCAAGATTCACGAGCTCGTTTAGTCCAGAGAATGCATGAAGACCAATCCAAAATATAAGATTATACGACAAATCCAATATTTTAATGGACGTGTATCCGATTTCCTAAAAAAAATCCAATAATATACACAGACCATAATTGAAATATCAATGATATAATCTGTCATTAAATCTGTATTGTATTAACTTTCTTTACAATCATTATCATATTAATATTTTTTTTAATTCTACATATTGCTTATTACCTTGAAACAAAAGTTGTCAAGCTCACTTATGACATTCCTTGTAAGGCTGTACACCTGCACTTCTTTTGGCACGCCTATGTCTACACTAACAATGTTTTGATCCACACACACGGCCCTGTTCATCCCATTACTAAGATCACAATCACACTGTTTCGGGCAATACGTAGCGAAACTCGTCCCTATACAAGTTATAATAAAAACTAACCACCACATTTCATAATGCATTTTGGGGACATTTTATGCATTCGTAAAACATTATTTATGTTAAACTAACCGCACTGACGCATACAAATAGAACAACGTTAACCGAACCTGATAACAGATATCGTTCACAGATAAGATAAAGAACTGTTTGAAATGTGTTTAATGAAAGTTTTATAATAATGATACATTTAGTATGAAATTAATAAGGAAGAGATAATAAAAATGTTAGGGGCTATTCAACGATTCATCTTTTAGTTTTATAACTATTCATGTATTTTTTTCTTCAATTTAAATAAACTAAAAAAAGATTAAATAGTTAATTTAATGAATTTGGTTTTAAGAGATATCTAAAAAAAATACATTTGCCAGATTTAGTATACTCGTTTTGTAAGTGGCGCTTAATAACTTGTTTAAAGATTACGCATTAATTAAGATTCGATAGAGTAATAAATGTTCACATGGAAAAATCCGCATCGAAATCATTTAATCCCTTTGAGACTAAGACCACAGACGTGTCTAAGTTATAACAAATATAAAATATTGTTTACGTTGTGGATTAAAAACCAAACCCACTTATTGGGGTAAAAAATAAGTACATACATAGAATATTTAAAAAATATAACGAGATCAAGAATAATTATATTTTTATAAAAGTTCAATACATTTTGTGCACAAAATATAGGGCAGTTTCTTTTGTTAAAATTATTGTTGTTCATTAACTAAATATATTATTCTGTCTGTGTGTTTGTGGAAAGCATCTCTTCATTGTGTAATCAATACCGATTATTGCATTTCTGACGTCGTAAACTGATGCACTTATTGTTTCAAATGTACTAGCAATCTTATCTACAGCAAGAGCCTGCAATTAAGAAATGTGAATTATTACAAAGTGTTTACAAACTGGATGGTAATTTAAAATAATTAAATCATGTTGTGCAACCAAAACAAAATGCATCATCATACATCGATCGATCATCGATGGTCCATCGACCAATGTAGAAAAGATCACGTTATTCTATAGATAATGATGAATCAGTATAATTTTTCTTCATATATAAATATAAATAATTTTGCTAAGTTTTGGAATAAAACTTTTATCCAAATCTTGGAAATCTCATAAGTCACCTTCAAGTGAGTATTGCTAGAGCAATACATATATAGCAATCGCTATATATATAGCAACTCTTATTATAACGCCTCATTTTTTATCGTCTATCGCATGTCGCACTTCGTTGTCGTAGCAGAGGTAAAAATTATGATTAATAGTACGTTTGTATTTATTAAGACGTAATAACCATTGTACCGTAAAAGGCCGGCTTTCAAAATTTTCTAACTGGATATTTTTTCTTGTGTTAATTCCTTACCATCATTTCCATTATTAAATTATAAGATTTAAACAATAAATTTTAAATTTAAAACTGAACAGAGTTATATTCTGTATAATATTGTGTGAATGCCAATAATCAGAAGAAATATAACTAATGTTTTTGATTTAATACGCTTTTTTATTGTTTCGGTTACTTTGCAGCATGAACATTTTTATATCATCTGCCCCGGATCACAGTTACTGCAAAATAACTGAAGCGTCTGGTGTATTAAGTTTAAAATAATAAAAGACGTAAGAGTAACTTCGATTTAACAAGAACTGTTTCCCTTAATAATGGCTTTGCCAGTCATAGAATCCCTACTAATATTATAAATGCGAAAGTAACTCTGTCTGTCTGTCTGCCTGTTACGCTTTCACGCCTAAACCACTGAACTGATTTTAATGAAATTTGGTACAGACATAGAGTTGACCTTGAGAAAGAACATAGGATAGTTTTTATCCCAGACTTTTGAAAGGTTCTCTTGGAAACGCGATATAGCCGAACTCCATGCGGGCGAAGCTGCGGGCGGAAAGCTAGTTATGACATATATATTATAATCACCTGTTTATGTGATGCTTCAGCTATCCTCTCCATTGCAGTGGAGTTTGTGAATGTAGCTTGTGCTACTTTCGACATCGCCGTTGCTTGCTGGCCCATAATTTCAACCTTAAAATATAGAAAGAAGCAATAATTATAAAGAAATATAAGTTTATGTTCATATATAATACTCAGATAAAACTTTATTAATGATATTGGAAATACTAAAAAGAGTTAAAATATTCACAACTGAAACAACAGTAGTATAATTTTCTTGTCCCTCTAACACACGTAACAATTTTATAAACTATATGTATATAACCCTAATGTTTATAATTCAGACCTATTATAAAAAAGGGTATCAATAAATGTAAAATATTTTTTATTGAGAAACATACAAGATATGTACACACATTAAGTCAGTGGTGACCTAGTGGTTAAAAGGCCCGTCTCTCATGCATGAGGGCGCACAATTTGATTTTTCCGAGTCATATGTACTTTTCCGAGTCTAATACTACTTAGACATCACTGATTAATGCATTCCCAAAGAGGGTTAATGTCAGGCAGGCGGCATGTCGTAAAAAACAATTAGCCAAAACTGTTCACAACATGTAAGGCAGACCCTGGCTAATTCTGGGAAATTGCCAGGTAGAAGAAGATACAAGATATATATATAGTTACCAGCTTTTCCATAGTATTTAAAAATCTTTCATCAGACTCCATTGACACTATTCTGTTATCCGATCCAAACTCTTTTTCTTCCATATCAGATGCATTATCATTAGAATCGGCATCACCATTGATTTCAGTTTTTAATGCTTTTCTTTCTAAAATGTAAATATTCAATGAGAAAACATTTAACTCGGCGGGAGGCGCTACCGGGTAAAATTTACCACATAGTGCATACTTTCGAAAATATTTATTTTTGTAAGTAATTTTGTGCAGCGCTGTTTTAGATACCTTTCGACAGATGTTCAACGGTTCGATTAATAAAGAAAATCGTGAGATTACTTGAAGGTGTTGGCTGTGTCTTATGTATTGCCACAAATTAAGTGTAAATCTTAAACCTGCCTACATACATTTATGAAAAGTAAAATAATACTTTTACTTGGTGGAAATGGCGAGCAAAATAATAATATTCCGAATAAGCAACGGGAAAGAGCCCTCCAGCCACACTAGCAAATATTTCGTTTTGTGCACAAAATGGCTGAGCTTTTGGGCTATGTTTTAAAATGTCAAATATTACATATTATACCAAGCGTTATTAGTTTCCAACTGTCTTGTTTAATTGAAAATGTAACACAATATAATATAAAATTTGGTTATATTTAATTATCCATAAAATAATTCTTACAATAATATTATTGTGGTATTTTTTACCCAGTAGCGACAGTCAGTGTTGGTATATGGGGCACGCCTCCCGTCGAGTTAAATTAGTGACAATTAAATATTATATGTCTGAAATTATTTTAAAATTTTAATTATTTATAGCATTTTTATTTATTCTAAAATTATAAAAAAGAATCATTATTCTATGAAAGAATCTGCTCCAGAATTCGATTTAAAATTAAATTGAAAGTTATTAATTAATACATTTTGTTTAAACCAATTATTTCAATTTTTTCAGATCTTTATATGAAAAACTCCTCTATAAAAAAAATACTCACTACTTGGTTTTTCAGGTATAGAAAGAGTAACTATTCTTTGTTCCAAAGGTGACAATCTCTCATTAACTTTACCAGAGTTAATTTGTCTTTGTTTCATCAGTAGACTTCTTCTTTTATCTGACCAGAACTTAAAAAAAAAACAATTTTATTGTAATGATATAACTTTTAATAAAAAATATAGGGGTATATTACTATGAAAACAGATATTTTCGCTTTAAAATCAAAGTAAAGTATTACCTTAATCCAACCCTTGGTAGATTTCATAGCCCCATTCATGGTGTTTAAATCATTTGAAAGTTCAATCCAGAAGTTTTTAAATTTTTCATGGCCTATTCCATTCCTGAATCTTTTATGTGCCAGGTCTGGATTTTTCTCCATAAATTGTACTATAGCTCTGACTTGTGTTAGTGATGGCCTGCTTTGCTAAAAAAAAAATACTTTTTTATATCTTTCAAAACAAGTAATATAATATTTATTACGAGCAGGGTCCTAATAAGTTTGTATATTATTCATAAAATATTGAAGAAAATAATAGAATACATATTAAGTTAGATAAAAAAAAGTTCTTACTCGACTTGTATTTTCAGAGTTTTCGGCTTCAGATAATAGTTCTGCCATTTTTACGGTCAATATTATCGTAAAATATATTTATTAATCATCACTTTTTAATTAATGATTATAAAAGAAAACATTGAAATCGTTTACAAAAATATACACAGTAGAATTGACAGTTGACAAACATATCTCTTTATTTCATAGGTATGACCTCACGATTTCATCGATTGTATCGATAGTCTTACGAGCTTAGTTCATTATTTTCTTCAAATAGACTGAAAAATAACAAAAATATAAATTTACTTTAATATATCTGCGTCTCTGTTGAATAGATACTACCTTTTGAATTTTAATATTATAATCCCATTTCATATCGATAGCTTGGTAGCTGGGCCGTTTCACTACCTATTGATAGTTTTGACTTTGACAACAGACTTCATGCTTGTTAATGTGAACATGCTTTGGTGCCTTTGTATTACTAATAAATGTATATTGTTGTTATAAAAGATATTAATATTAGTACAAAAACATATGACGGATATAAATAGTTTATTTGATTGCTTCGAAGAACCAGCTTTAAATGAAGCCGCCACCAAATTACCAAATGTTAAAAGTGAAGAAGAAACGCCGTGAGTTGACACAGCCTAAAGAATTCATATGAAATCATCAATATATTTTAAAAATATATTCATATATTTATGTTAGTATATTAAGAAGTTATTAAAATGTTTACAGAGCAACCAAGACGGAAGATGTTAAAAAAGAACAAAGTATAGAAGCGTCGCCTAGTAATAAGCGTCCCCATGAAGAAGTTCAGTATGCAGACACTTCTAAGAAGCTCAGACAAGAAGAGGAAGACGATTCCGATATTATAAGTGACATTAAGTAAGTATCCTGAGGTTGTATTATACAATGGGCATTAGATCTTTGCTGTGAAAAGTTGCCTTATTGTCACCTTGTATGAAGTCTTAACCAGAAATTAACACTATTTATAGAAGAATGGAATAAAGTACATTGATATGATAGACAATATTTTGACAAGAGTAAATCATATTGGTCTTTACAGTACATTTTAATTTGTTTTTAAATGAATTATTTACTTATATCAACCTAGTGGATATTCTAACATTTTGATATTGCAATTCTTAATTTTATTATGGCCATCTCATTTTTTTGTTATTCTGCTCACAGTCTCAACAATCTTGGTGCAAGGATACTTATACACACTCTTGATACACATGAAGGCTGTACACATGAAGTGGCGATACCCCCTAATCAAGAATATGCACAACTAATGCCGATTACATCAGAACCAGCTAAGCAATACAGTTTTATCCTGGATCCGTTCCAAAAGGAAGCTATCATGTGCATTGACAACTTACAATCAGTACTTGTATCAGCTCATACATCTGCCGGAAAGACTGTTGTTGCAGAGTAAGATATATAATTCTCAATGAAATAGATAGTTTTTCTACTTTACATATATATGATTATTGTTATTGTGATATATTCAACAGGTATGCAATAGCACTATCACTAAAAAACAAACAGAGGGTAATTTACACAACACCTATCAAGGCTCTCTCTAATCAGAAGTACAGGGAATTCTCGGAAGAGTTTCATGATGTGGGTTTGATTACTGGTGACGTTACTATCAATCCATCTGCTTCATGTTTGATAATGACAACTGAGGTAAATCTTATATTGATTATCAAGTAAATAGTAAAAAATATGCCAGCAATTTGTAATGTTATTATTAAAAATATGTATTTTTTTCTTGCAACAGATTCTAAGAAATATGTTATACAGAGGTTCAGAGATTATGAGAGAAGTTGGTTGGGTTGTGTTTGATGAGATCCATTATATGAGGGACAAGGAAAGAGGTGTTGTGTGGGAAGGTTAGATATGTAAATATATTCTATATATTTCTAGTGACTAATATTTTTTTCTGTAATTGTACCATAATTCATTTAAAAAATAATAAAAATTTATTCATATACCATAGCCCTGTTAAATGTTTGCTTCAAAATAACATTACCTAAAGTTTGATAGAGATATTTTCCCTGTACAGCTGAATTATGTCTTCTATTTTCTTCCAGAAACACTGATCTTGCTACCCGACAATGTACACTATGTATTTTTAGTCGGCTACTATCCCTAATGCTCGTCAGTTTGCTGAGTGGGTGTGTCGACTTCACTCACAGCCGTGTCATGTTATATACACTGAATACAGACCCACACCTCTCCAGCATTATATATTCCCCGCCAGTGGAGATGGAATTCATCTTGTAGTGGATGAAAAGGTGGGATCAATAACAAATTGTCAAAAATAGCATTATTACTACAACATTTAGTACATATATATTGAGTTATTCAATCTCCAAGATCAATAAACATTTCTAGTAAAGGACTTGGCAAATATATGTCCATATTATAGTGAATGAGAGGTAATATAACATGAGTTTTTTGTTTTCAGGGTCAATTCAAAGAGGATAACTTCAATACAGCTATGACGGTCTTGAGTAACGCGGGCGGAGCGTCTTCGGGGGGCTGAGCGGGGCCGGAGGGGAGGACCCAAGGGGGGCAGCAGTAGTATCTTTAATATAGTCAAGATGATCATGGAAAGAAACTTCGCACCAGTCATTATATTCAGTTTCAGTAAGAAAGACTGCGAGTTATACGCTATGCAGATGGCTAAATTGGATTTTAATACAAGTGAGTATTAAATAATTGTGGTTAGAGATTATTTATTAAGTCATGTAATATATCGTAGAAATCTAATCTATATATACAATATATAGGAAAATGTATGGGGATGTATGCAAGTTTAATGATCTTTTACAGAAAAGCAACTCAAAAGATTTTTATGAAACATTATATCATCTTGTAGTAGTTTGTATGAAAACACGAGACACAGAGTTAATATGTCGTTCCGTGTTAGTTACTATATCTAATATTTTAAAACTACTATTCATTCATATCTAAACAATCAATGAAGTTTCGTCCTAATGCAGTAAACAAAATTTAATTTTAATGAATACAATATTTTTAAAATCTCCAGTTGAAGAGAAAAAACTTGTAGACGAAGTTTTCAACAACGCGATGGATGTTCTATCAGAAGACGATCGTAAGCTGCCTCAGGTTGAAAATGTGATACCCTTGTTGAGGAGAGGAATCGGCATACATCACGGAGGACTGTTGCCCATACTGAAAGAAACTATAGAAATATTGTTCGGCTTGGGACTTATCAAGGTATATCAGTATATTCTTATATAATGTATATTCCAAGCAAGTCATTTGGAATAAAATAAACAGCAAAAGATTTGAACATATTAAAATATTTAATAGGAATATATGGAGTATAAATCACCATTATTGTCTGATGAATCCAATTGGGTGTCATCCAATAATTAATTGCTATTCTAAATGTTGCAGGCGTTGTTCGCGACCGAGACCTTCGCTATGGGGCTCAACATGCCCGCAAGGACTGTTGTGTTCACAAATTGTCAGAAGTTTGACGGCAAGGATTTCAGATTTGTTAGTATTTGAACATGAAATATATAAAATATTGTTAAAAGAATATAATATGTTTATTATATAAATCTTTTTTTAGATAACTTCAGGTGAATATATCCAAATGTCAGGTAGAGCGGGTCGTAGAGGTTTGGATGATAAAGGTATTGTCATACTGATGATCGACCAGAAGGTTACTCCCAGTGTTGTTAAATCTATGGTACAAGGGAAGGCCGATCCTATAAATTCTGCATTCCATCTTACATACAATATGGTGAGTTATATGCATTTATAGTTAGTAAGAGATTGTTATTATTTTTATTAATATTTTTTTTACTACCAGGTCCTTAATTTATTAAGAGTGGAGGAAATAAACCCAGAATACATGTTGGAGAGGAGTTTCTATCAGTTTCAAAACCAAGCTGTAATACCAGATCTCATTGACAGTAAGAATATTTATTCAACATTTCTATGTTAAAAACCAGTATATTTTGAGATTTAACATTTTCGCGACTATTCATTTCAATTAAATTAATATTTCGGATCACTACACGTATAGACGAGATGTCTCGTCTGTCCGTGATCAAGACTGATGCGAAGTAACCGTAACGTCGGGAGTATGTATTTTAAAATAATAAAGAGAGGCTTAGTAATCTGAAAATATTAGTTTAATTTAAATCAGTATATTGGTTTATTGTGTCTACTATTCAAAACTATACATATATTTTTTCCTTTTGCATGCCGTATGTAGACTTCTCACGAATATTATATCAAGTTAGTAAATAATTATCTTAATTTTCAGAGGTGAAAGCTAAGCAGAAGGAATATAACGCCTTATCAATAGAGCAGGAACACTCAATAGCTTCATATTGTAACATAAGGTCTCAGTTGGAGCTGCTCGGCTCACAGTTCAGATCATTCATCACAAAGCCGGAGTACATCAAGCCTTTCCTACAACCTGGTAGACTTGTTAAGGTGTGTATAAACTTGTAAATAAAGTTCCATTATACATTATACTTCTATTATATAACATAAGAGTCTATTGCCCTTTGTTTATAGAATTCACCGTTCATAGTCAATTGTATTCTGTGTTAAAAAAAGTTTATTAATTTTTATGAAATGATTTATGTATTTAAAACGATAGAATGTGTCTTGAAAAATTCGCAAATAATTACTTTGAAGTGATAAAAAAAGAAGATTAGAAAATATGTTTCTTTGAAATTTTCATTTTGTAAAAGTGACGGATATGTTATATTCAAACTTGAAAATAATTTTTAATCTCAATAAAATGTATTTAGTAATATTTAATATTTCAAATAAGTCAAAAGAAAACTCATTGGCTTTTACCGTTTACGATATTTTATCGTTCAATATGAAGTTATTAGATTTTTTTATATTTTCGCTAAAGTTTCTTGCTTTTCACAACTATTTATATGAAAATCGCCAAATTTCAGGTGAAAACGGAAAAATACACGAGTACGACTGGGGCATTATAGTGAACTTCAAACATAAGACAGGCAAAAGTAAGAAAGACGAGAACCCATTGACCGCTGACACCGTTATAGTGGTCGATGTGTTGTTACATGTGAAGAAAACTAAAGATGACGAAGCAGACACGAACGTGCCTTGTCCGCCTGGAGAGGTGATATATATAAATATATAATATAGGGAAAATCTCATTTAATATAAGACATTTCTAGTGTAATTAACTATTTAGATCATATATACATCTTCTTCTACCTGGCAATTTGCCCAGCTTTAGCCAGGGTCTGCCTTGCATGTTATGAATAGTTTTGGCTAACTGTATTTTTTTTTACGACCGGCCACCTGCCTGACATCAACCCTCTTTGGGAATGCATTAATCAGTGATGTCTAAATACTCTTAGAAAGTACAAATGACTCAGAAAAATCACATTCGTACTTGCCAGGATCGAAATCGCGCCCTCATGCATGAGAGGCAGGCCTTTTAACCACTAGGCCACCACTGACTAGATCATATATACATATATTATATACTACATATTCATATATGATAATAGATCAAAAAGTATATCTATGTTCGAACTTACTTGTTCTTATGAACTCGCGGTCAATATTTAAATGTAATACCATTTTTAATTATATATTTTAATGAAGAATATTTGCTTCCAGTCAGGTGATGTAGAGGTAGTACCGATTCTACACACGTTAATATATCAGATAAGTTCGTTGCGTGTGTACTACCCTAAAGATCTGCGGCCGCCCGACAACAGGAAGTCAGTGTTGAAAACTATAGGAGAGGTCAAGAAACGGTTCCCTGAAGGACCGCCGCTACTGAATCCAATCAAAGACATGAAAATAGAGGACCCTGTGTTCAAAGAATGCGTCGAAAGAATCAAACTACTAGAAGAAAGGTGAATTGAAACAATATATTTGAAATCGGATATTGACTTTCAAAGATATCAGTTTTATGTTATATAATTTACTGTTATCAGTGGTTCCGTTGCAAATAGGTTAAGTTACTCCTTATTACATCAGCTGCTGGTCAAAATAGGTTCAGTGTTTTTAGAGATTAGTCGGAACAGACAGACAGATAAAAAAATTGTAAAAGTGCTATTTGATCGTATGCACCGTTTATATGTTGTAAAAAACGGTTATTATAATATTACCAACAAACACTCCAATTTTATATACGTATAAATAATATTATGTTGCCTCTAAAAATATATGTACCACAGATTATACTCTCATCCCCTCCACAACGACAAAAACCGCGGCGCTCTGACAGCGGCTTACGACGCGAAACAAGAAATATATGAAGAATTGACGACCGCTAAAACAGAATTGAGAAAGGCAAAGAGTATACTACAGATGGACGAACTTAAGAAACGAAAACGAGTGTTGAGACGACTCGGATACTGTACACTGTCTGATGTTATAGAAATGAAGGGCAGGATAGCGTGCGAACTCAGCAGGTACATACAAATACCCATATATATGTGTTATACTTAGCAGGACAGTGATAGTTGCTTTACATTATATACTGTAGTTTTATCATGAAGATTGTTCATTGTTTAATCTTCTTATTGGTGTATTTTGTTACTATATAAAGGATTTAAGAACGCTTTAATATAAATAAAGTAAGAGAGTTTACGGCGTATTCGAAATCTGACGATCTCTAACTTTATTTTCGTTGAAAGATTAGTCAAGAACCAATTAAGATAATGTCCGATTCACAGTTTTAGACTTGATTTATAATATTAGCGTTATTTAGCGTTGCTTCCAGTAATGTCTTACTGAAGTCTGTATTTATAGTTTTCTAATACAAGGTGGTATTTAAATGTTGCATTACAAAATGACAATGGTTCAGTATTGTAATTAATTATAATCAGCCATAAAAATAATTCTAAGGATTAAAATATATTTTAATTAGTTCTTCACGGATGGCGCCATGGCCACTTGTAACACTACAGTTATTTCTTTAGCTTCGCTATATTCTTAAAACAATCTTATATTCCAGTGCGGACGAGCTGCTTCTAACGGAACTGATCTTCAACGGTGTGTTTAACAATCTGTCCGCGGAGCAGAGCGCGGCGCTAGTGAGCTGCTTCGTGTGTGACGAGAACAGTACGCAGACCTCCGCCACCGGCGAGGAGCTGAGGGGCGTCCTCAGACAACTACAGGTACCATAGAAATAACAGACTGTTAATGAATAACAGTTGATCGACTTCATTGGTATACATCATCAGCCTATCAGAGCCCACTGCTGAGTAAAGGCCACTTACGTGGTGAAGATTTGAGCATTAATCAGATTTCAAACTTAAAATTGTAAATTCTAAAGCCACGTTTACTCACGATGTTTTCCTTCATCTGTCAGTGGTGTCTAAATAGTCTTAGAAAGTATATGTATATGTATATGAATATCTTAGAAAGTATATGTATATGACTCGGAAAAATTAGATTGGTGCTTGCCGGGCCCTTAAACACTAGGCCACCACGAATTTCATCCACTTCATTGGTGTACATTATTATATTTGTTTGCAGGAATACGCGCGTAGAATAGCAAAAGTATCGATAGATGCGAAGATGGATCTCGATGAGGATGAGTACGTCGGCAAATTCAAATGTACCCTCATGGATGTAGTACTGGCGTGGGCCAAGGGCGCCTCCTTCCTACAGATATGCAAGATGACTGACGTCTTTGAAGGTATGTCTTATAATGAGATCTAAGATTTTCGCGAGTACTCATTTATATGATACTAATATTTTCGGATTTTATTTCGCGTTTTTATTTTTTGATCACGGTTCCTGAAAAGTAGCCGAAACGTCGGGAGTATGTAGTTTGTAATCAAACAATAAAATAATAATAATAACTTTTTTATTTCAAGTGACAATCAAACAATAAAAACGCGAAGTAAAATCCTATAATATTAGTTTATTTAAATAGGTAATTCTTATTTGAGTATTATACTACAACTAATATTATAAATCAGAAAGTGTATTTGTTTGTTGTTCTTTCATGCAAAAGCTGCTTATCATATTTTGAGAATATTGACAAATTAATTATTGTAGACGTCAAAATAACATAATTTACTACGTCTTTTCGTACATCTTGCCCAGAAACACCACAGTTGAGTGTATGTATTACATAAAGTAGGAATTATTTATTGTGAATATCAAAACTAGTAAGAAATAAAACCAAGTCATACTAGTTTATATTTCAGGCAATTTCCCAGCTATAGCCAGGGTCTGCCTTCCATGTTGTGAATAGTTTTGGCTAATTGTTTTTTACGACCGGCCGCCTGCCTGACATCAACCCTCTTTTGGGAATCAGCATTAATCAGTGATGTCTAAATATTCTTAGAAAGTATAAATGACTCGGAAAAATAACATTAGCACTTGCCCGGGCCAGGATCGAACCCGAGCCCTCGGGAAAGAGAGGCGGGCCCTCTAACCATTAGGCCACCACTGGCTTTCAATTATCTTATACATATTTGAATGTTTTTTTTTTCAGGTTCAATAATTCGTTGTATGCGTCGTCTTGAGGAGGTTCTCCGTCAGTTGTGTCAGGCTGCCAAGAACATCGGGAACACGGACTTGGAGAACAAGTTCAGCGACGCCATCAAGATGTTGAAGAGAGACATCGTGTTCGCGGCCAGTCTTTATATGTAGCGGACATAGAACCACCTCAATATATTTTTATGACCTTACTTGACGTTTTATTGAAATCTTATAATTCTTTTAAGTGAATGTTGCAAGGTTGCGTTAAATTTTATACGCTGAGGTAGAGAGAAAGATACACAAATGTAGACAATAGGAGAGGGAGTGAGTCGGTAAATTATAAAATTTTGTGGATAAGAATTGTTTACTATTGAGAAATTTAACTTCTTCCGTGGGAAGGGACATAACACACTATTAATTATTTTACATATTTTGAATTGTTAGGATTGAATTATTTTTTTCAAGTTATGTTTATTCAACCACAAGTGTAACCTGAAGATGATGCTCACCATGTCATTTCAGTTTTTGGAGTCATAAAAATGCACTGTGGCTTGTTCAGTATTACCATAAAATTTAAAAACCCTAGCATTCAGTGGAAATCTTTAACAAAATGTTCTTTATTCTTATATATCAAATTTTCTTCAATTTGTAAATGTAACCTTTCTTTAGATATTTAGTACATGTACGTAGTATATATGTATATAAAGGGGTTAGGAGGGAGTGATAATACAAACGCACAAATAATTTCACAATGTTATAAGAGAACTTTATTGTTTTAATTACCGTTTATCTATAGCATGAACTGGCAAGTAACAAAAGAAACATCATTACACTAGGGAACCATGTTCACAGTCGGCCGTGCCCAAATACACAACTATATTATAATTAACTAATATGAGAAAAGATAATTCGAAAACAGCGACATCAAAATTTGCTCTCCACATTACTTTCATAAAATTTTGAATACCTAACTCCTAAAAAGCGTTAACAAGGGGATGATAAGTGACTTGGAACAATATTAAATAAATACTCCTTACATTTGTATAAAAGTGTAAGTACGCAGATAATTGAAAATGTCATAAATTTAGAAATCACTGTTCCTTACATAAACTTATTTCACATACCTTAAAACGATTTGGGGAGACCCCAGCATTTCAACATGTTAATGACCAATTATATGTTATTTTAGAATTTAACTTGATATACTTTGGAATACATCGATTATCGTATATTATAGACAACAAGACGTCAATGAAGAAAAAGTTTTGAATATGAAATCGAGGTCTCCTCAGAACACTGAATAATATTAGATCACAATTGAAAATATTCAAAAAATTGCTTACACTATAGTCTCATTGGTGCCTGAATTGATATGTCCAATAACTAAACGCGAAATCAACACAAATCTGTCTAGCTATTACGTTTGCGTAACTAAACGAGGTATTTGTTTTGTGTCTATAGTTATACAGAAGTAAACCTGCGACGTTCACGCAAGTGCACTCCGAGAGCCTATGCTATGATAAGTATACTCTATTATTATCGTTTAATACTTAGTTACAGTAAACACTCGCTCTGCGCTCGACTGCTATGGAAGACTCGACGCTTACAAGAAGCACTTTCAATACTTACCAGTCGTTCGCCACACACCTGTTGTAACGATTACTCCATTACATCGACACCTTACTGTATATTTATACAAAATGTACAATATCTCAAAAGCGTCCTCACAATTTTTTACGCCAGTTATGAGAGTGATTATGATCGTTTGAACCGCAACAGTCAAGAAGCATCGATCACAGTGGCGCCAATTTTAATGAATACGTTTCATTTTAATTGAGTGACAATTGACAGGTTACGTAATAAAACAAAATTTAAAATAGGACCGGCCCTTTTGTAAATTGATATGGTTATTATCTTAAAATTGACTTATTGTCTGTGATCAATTCTTCTTTTAATTTATTATAAGGCTATATACAGCATGCTATTGTCCGTCATAGTTATTTCAACCTGGTCCTTTTTATTAATTTATTTAGAACTTGGCTGCAGTTTGGCACAAAATGCGAGACATTTACTTGAATGTGTGTATATTTTGTACTATTTCATTTATTGTTTCAGTATCCATGATTATAATGGGACAACAGCAAGCTTCGATATAATCATACACGTCGTCTAACATATTAACTTTAGATATGTTTTTATGAATCTGATAATAATTTCTAGTTAACATTTATGATACGTAGGTACAAACAGATTAATAAACTTTAATGTAATTGATATTCCCTTATTTTAAATGTTCTATAAGTTTTAATGTATGTGTATATTTCGTATAATATAATTGTGATCTCAGTGAATACAAGATACACACGTTTAAAAAATAAAAGTCAACACGATCCGATAACGGACAGAGCAAGTCGAATTCGAACTATAAATAGCGACAATCGTAATGTAGGCCCTTGTTAATTATTTACACTAGTAATGACATCAACATTATCTCATGTATATATATGATTTAAAATGTAGGGAGAAAAATTCTAACAACTATACCATAATAATTGGAGTCGGCCGAGATTACATCGTAAGACGATAAGAGCGTTGATGTTTTATATACAAGAAACATGAAACAGACATCGACAGGTTAATGCAACCCTGTTTATTTCAAAATATATTTATATACCTATAATCTAAAATCATTATTATTATTTATTAAATGATGGCGAAAATTTATTTAAGTATATGATCTGACGTAAATCTGACATAAATCTGACGTTTCAAAATTATCGCCATGTTTTTTTTTCTCAATAATTATTAGGCATTTCTAAAAATATAGACTTAATTAACTCCAACGCCCGATTCTATCGGTGTTTTAATACTATTTATCGCCGCTAGTAGTAGGACTTCTGACACAGAGCTCTACGATGCTTACTCGTCGACTCGTTTCTTTACCTCTAATAGTAATAATTATACACAGGCACACGTAACTTAGCAACGAAATTGTCTACAAACGAAACCTCTCTTATTTACAATAATAAAAACATTAATCTATGCGACTAGTCAAGTTTGCAACCGTTAGTTGATAAGATACTGAGAAATAAATCGTGTTAGGATCAACATAGGTATATTTTTCTAAAACATGTTTTCAAACGATAATAATATTTTACATTTATTATTTTTAAATATCTATTAACATTAGCTATAATTTATAAGATCTCCAAGTTTGTGATACACCTCAATTTAATTTAACAAGATTCGTTACCTACCTATTACAATACTCGACCGCATACTTAGAATATCGACCAACTTAACAAGGAGGAGAAAATATTTATTAAACGTTATCTTATCCTAGTTCGAATCGATAATCCTGTCTCAAAACAAGATCAAAAGTTCACTTGGTCGGACCAAAACTTCAGTCGGTAAATTGATCAAAACTTTAAACAACTCGCATACAAAACAGGCCGCAGTAAGGCCTGGCTGGTGAGACATTCCCTAACATACCAGTGACTATGCCACTATGACATATGACACATGACATATGTCATATGTCATAGAGAATGTCCCACAACAACGCGAGTTCCAGCCTATCAGCACAAATGCACAAAGTTCAGCGTTCATAAACACACACTCGAACACCGCGACACGCTGACACGTGAAGCCTCCTTATTAAAAAAATATCAAACGGCTATTGGAGTTGAAATTATTTTGTGTGACGTAAAATTTGATATGGCTTCGAAAGCTTCAATTGTCGGGAAACTGCAATCAAGTTAATTTTGGATTTTTTTTTGTCATTAATAATTGGACAGTCACGTTGCGAATTTTAACAAAATTCGTAGGACGATCACTGAGAACACAAATATTGTAGGCTCCGTCCGGCCACCGCGGCCGCAGGATTGGATCTCGATTTCCTGGAAACAAAATTTGTATTAACATCCATACAAACTTACATTGAATTTCTAAGCAATGATTAATACTTCCAAGATGGTATGTGAAAATTGTAAATAAATGACAACAGATCTTTAAAATATTATCCGTTCCCCTACGAGTTACGCTCGACATAATTACGACATCATATAAATACATGCATCATATTTTTTTCTCATTGCAAAATTACAATAACTCTTAATTTAATTCAGTTCGCATTCTGTCACCAAGCATACCGAGCGTTCTCATCAATCAGTCATGTATTATTCAAATTCAAATTAATCAATATAAGCATTATCTATTGATGCCATACTAGCTTTCCGCCCGCGTCCAGTTCGGTTATATTGCGTTGCCAAGAGAACTTTTCAAAAGTCTGGGATAAAAACTATCCTATGTACTTTCTCAAGGTCAACTCCATCTCTGTACCAAATTTCATTAAAATCAGTTCAGTGGTTTAGGCTTGAAATCGTAACAGATAGACAAACAGACAGAGTTACATTCGCATTTATAATATTAGTAGGGATAAATGTATGATCAAGCAAGTGCCCATACAATGACTGTTCCAGTATTCATATATGTTAGTGTATACTGTATGTATATGTATGTTCATCTATGTATGTATACCTCAGGGTGGTATGACACACATGCTCGTGGTCGTCTCCTGGGCAGTGCTCGCGGGTGTCTCCTGCACGCGCTCCTCCCTCCCCCCGCCTCCCGCGCCCTCACGTCCAGTCTCTTAGCGCCGCACGGACATAATGTATCCACTACTAACAGGATCAGGTTGCTGTGTGGTATCTTCTGTACGCTGAACGGCCTGCAAATTTTGCTATAGTTATCACACTGGTCTATCAATTGATTAGTATAGACGTTATAATATATTCGACCTCTCGCATCCAGAGTTGTGGCAATTGGTGAGTTTTCCTTTAAGTGGTTGGGCGGCGTTTAGTCTGGTGGATTGTAGGGTGAAGAGTTCAGCGCTAGTATCGCAGGGTCGGACGGCGGCGGAGCGTGCGGCCTCGCGAGGGGGCTCCCGCGGCGGCCCGGGGCTGAGAGGAGGCTCGTGCTTCTCAGAGCCTCCAAGGCCGTCTATAATAATCTCGTATGTACCACGATCACGGTCCACGTCTTCCTCGTGTTCCATGTCTTCGGTCTCGTAATCTTCATAATCTAGTTATTTAAACACAAGAGATATTGAATATAAATTAAATTACTAAAGATATATTTTCTTATAATAACATACCCAATTCTTCTTGCGCGTGAGGGTGCGCTCGTGCATGTATAGTCTCGAGTAATGGATACCATATAGTAAGTAAGTTTGTGAAGTAACTTCCGAGCCAAGCCAGAGGTTTCATAGGTGTCAGTTTGTTGGATGCTCCACTGAAGGGGCTCCTTGAATCTGGACATCTGCCCTGATGGTCATGGACGGTGACTTTCTTGTAAATTCTATCCTGAACCAGCGAATCCATTATAGTCCCATCCACTTGACCAAAGAAACGTCCAGTCTGTGAAACATCTTCCGACAAAATGATAAACCCGTTATCGTCGAGTATGTAGCAATCCAATTCATCACCAGCGCAGGTTTTCTTGCAGACACTGCCCGCCGTGCACTGAAATGACAAGTAGTTTTTTAAAAACCCAAGTAAATTTTTTGATGTTTTTGTCATTTAAAAGTATGGAAATTACCGTTGAAGTAACGTTCAAGAAGTGTCTAGCTAGTGAATCTAGTTGGAAGTGTAATCCGACCACAGCGGCGGGTGCGCGATGTCCTCTTGATTCAACGAAGACTGCGTGTGTCGCTAACACTAGCGTCGGTTTCCCGCTGAAGTCCTCGGGCTCGGAACCGTCACGGAAGGGAACAGAGAACACGAAACTTTCCGGTTCAATGGAGTGATGTTCCACCGCACGCCGGTACCATTCAGAGTCGAAAGCACGAGCATATTTTTCGCTGAAGTGTCTAGAAATATTTTACATGTAATAAGTACTAAGACTTTTGGGAGTATTCGTTTAAATGAAACTAATATTTTTAGGATAAACAGACGATTTTAAAAACTACATACTCCCGACGTTGTGGTTACTTTTCAGCAACCGTGATCACGGGCAGACGACATGTCAGTATTCGTAGTGTAATCAAAATAATAAAAAATACGCATAGTATAATCCGAAAAATATTGGTTTTGTTTAAATAAATAATAATTGTTGAAGATCTGATGTAGTTTCTTTAATTATTGACTGGTTAATTGTCTTATATTCCATCAGAGGGTTAGAGAAAATGAAGTCATAGATTCATTCATTCATTACGCTTTCATTCATTTTCAGATTCATAGATTACGCTTTCAAGACATCCACTTTGGCCGTTTAAGGAAGGTCTAGATTCTAGAAATTCTACAGAGAAAGTATGATGGCCATCGCGCCTCGGTTTTTCCGATGGTTAATAAGGTATGCATGAATTAAAATAATATATTATATACATACGGTTCAGAAGAGTCAGCTGTTCTCGATGTGTTGACATTTTCAGTCCATTTCAATAAACCGCTTCTGGTAGCGATGAAGGACAACGTCACGACGAATTTGTGAAATCGGCCTTGTCTGCAAAGATTATAGTTGTTATTGAAACAATATTGGTTAAAGTGTCCTTCGCTTGTAAGTTTACAGTTTATCTTGCACATTAAACCATTTTTTATTCCCATATGTATTCCATATTTTATATACTATTAGTATAAAAAGTTGGTTTAGGTCTTGAGTTCTAGATGCAATTTTAATCCAGGCTAGTTTTCATTATAGAAGTACGATAATATATTGTAAATCTTATAAGTAAACCAATAAATCATATATTAAAGATAAGGAACACGAAAATTCCAGACAAATATTAGGAATTCCATTTACCCATCAAAATAAACGCATAAATATTGTTAGCGAAATTTTTTTTTATTTTGTCGTATACAACGAATTATTAATGTATCTGTTTCCAACTGATTTCTTTTTTTTGTTTATTTGTCTAGGATTTTTGTGTTCCTCAATTGTCAAATAATTAAAACCCAAATCCAAGGCAGCTAGAAACCTGATAGACAAATATTCCTTTCATATAATTTTACCTCAGTCCTCGTTAGCTAGAACAGTGTGAAAAAACACGACAACACAAATACGTACCTTATATATACACATAGATTTTATATATTTTTTTTTATTGTAAATAATTTTCTTTTGTATTTATATTATTTTTTTTTCTCTCCTTTTTATCTTGATAAAAATTATCTTAGCGCTACTTTGCACACCAATAACAGTAAGTGATTTTGGAAAATGACGCACACTTAGAATGAGTTTATTTTAGAATGTGACGAATTAAACAACTATCGATTTACAATGGCGATGTTTTTTTAACATGTGTATCATGAGTTCATTCAAACTATTAAAATTAACGATCAAACTGAAAGTTCAAACGTAATGTCTTCAAGAACAAACTAGCACGGGAGGGGGTACATTAAGCCGTTGATAGTTCAAGTAGCCGCTAACAGCTAAGGGGAAAAAACCGCATCACACGTCTAATCTACACTCTCAATAGCGTATTTGTATGTAAAATGTCTATTCGTCACTATAATTCATCTAAACGGAACAGTATGGAGATATCTTTGTTACGTTACCTTGTCAGTAGTGCCATTAATGTTGCTATCGGGCTATTCGTGTGACAAACACATAAAAATTAGTGATCGAAACAAAAAAACAAAAGAAAGTGCTTCAATGTTAACTTAACACGTAACTATAAGTGCAAAGTTCCATGCAACATTTACAGACGTTGCCAATTTTAATGACGGCTTTGTTAATAAGAAATTTGTATGAATCCGTTCAGTTTTTAGGGACTTAATCTGTTTCTGTCATCGTTGAGCCTATACATGCTTATAACTAGATCGTTACTTACTGTGTGTGATGGCTGGCGTGTCCAATGTGAGCGTCCAATTCTTTAATTACCATTGCATCTCGGACTAGAGACTGCACTAAGGTTTTATCACCTGTAAACAGTATAAATACAAACATCAATAAATTTTTCCCCAAATCTAGGACTAAGAGCATTAAATGTCATCAAAGATTCCAGTCACTTACAATAGTACGAATCTCTGTCCTGTTTTTTGTGTGCGTTATGAAGAGTGAGGGCGCGAGGCCGTAGAGACATCCACTTCCAACCAGGACGACCTGACCTGCTCAGGAAATGAAGCAGTTGCTCCTCGGGGCTCGAGAACGTCTGGTCGGATGTGGAGGCATACTCACAGTATACCCTATAGCGAGTAACATACTCTCAAAAAAAAAAACTCAAAAAAATATAAATTCGGTCATATTAAGTCATATTACGGTCTAAATATCTCAAGTGTTTATCTATTTTATGTCCATACAAGTTTATCACCGCAATTTTTTCTGCGTGGATTTAGGAAAAGGGTTCAAAGTGATATTATTAAAGTAGGCCTAAAAAAATAGATCTTGTTAACAACTGACAGCAATATTTATGTAGTGACTTCATACAAAATAAAATTTTCATTCCGTGTTCGTGAGGAAACTAAACTATTTTTTCTAAATAAAGAATAGACTTTATTATTATTTTGGTATCTATCTAAACTTTAAATCTTAACCAAAAAGCCGGTACATACTTTTTATTTAAAGGAACAAAAAAATCTCATCAAAACTCTGTCATATATACATAGTGTAATAGAAAATATGTCTCTCTCTTACCAATCTGGATGTATCTTCCAGTTGTCTCCTTTAAAGTATTCCGTGACTGCATGAAAGAGATCCATGATAAATCATTGTCAAACACTATACATTTATCACAACAAAAACTCACCATTAATAGGGCTGTGTTTAATTTCTTGTTCAGCCTGCAGTTCATACATGCCATAACCATCGGGTAGTACAGCGGCTAAGGAGTAAGGGGTTCCTTCTACGGGTCCATAGAAATATCTCTGACGTCTAGTACCGACGCGTCTCATTCCTTCATAAGCTACTTTCACACCCATTTCTGTTTCTCCTTCACGTTGTTCTATCATATCGTGACGAAGCTGAATTTAGAGAGAAATTAATAATAATAATAATTTCGTTTGATTTAATGATCAACTTAGCACTGTGTGATAGAAAATTGTACTCAGTTAGCCATTTTTTTTTTTACAGAATTCTATCATTTATATATAACTAGATTTCCGTCCGCAGCTTCGCCCGCGTGGAGTTCGATAATATCGCGTTTCCAAGAGAACCTTTCAAAAGTCTGGGATAAAAACTATCCTATGTTCTTTCGCAATGTCAACTCTGTCGCTGTACCAAATTTTATTAAAATCAGTTCAGTGGTTTAGGCGTGAAAGCAATAGACAGACAGACAGAGTTACTTTCGCATTTATAATATTAATAATAGGGATTTTTGTTTTGACATTAAAATTCTTGGAAAACGCGCAAGAAGGGTATTTTTTTTATATAGCAATACTATTTGTAGTTATATTACTTACATCCAATAGTAGTGAAGTTAAATTAACTCTGGAATTCTCATCGGAATCAACGAGTAGTTCTACGTCTGTGATGTCGACGCTCGAGTAGAGTGGTCTCAATGTTTCAGTGTACTGTAAATGTAAATATTTACAAACATAACAATAATACCGTAAAATTTTAATTAAAAAGCAATAACATTAGCCAAGTTATTAGATACTAGCTTTCCGCCCGCAGCTTCGCCGCGTGGAGTTCGGTTATATCGCGTTTCCAAGAGAACCTTTCAAAAGTCTGGGATAAAAACTATCCTATGTTCTTTCTCAAGGTCAACTCTATCTCTGTACCGAATTTCATTAAAATCAGTTCAGTGGTTTAGGCGTGAAAGCGTAGCAGACAGACAGACAGACAGACAGACAGACAGAGTTACTTTCGCATTTATAATATTAGTAGGGATTTAATAGAAAACTTTATAAATATTACCTCCTCGTTTGTGTGCTGAAACAAAAAAAAAATTTTCATAGTTTTGATAACCTTACCGAATTTTATCGATTAAAAGACTCACTCATAATTAAGAAAATATTTTCCAAAAAAGGTTTTTAAGTACTGAATTAAATAATATAATAAAAGAATATTCTCGAATAAATATTATATCTTACCAAAGGTCTCAAATCCGGGTGATACAAAACATGCCCGTTGTTATCCACCATGAAGGAATAACCGTTTACTCCCAACTGTATTACAGACAAAATAATTACAATTTTTCCTTCTTTTTCACATAATTTTAAGTAATTAATTATTTCCTCACCTTATATGGTGGCACGAGCTTCTTTATTTGATCAACAGGAACGTCTGTGCCCACTACGCCAAGCAAATTAGCCTCTCTTTGCTGAAACAAATATTAGTAATTATAAGTGTATTTTTTAACTCCAATAATTGGAATGAAAAATTAATTATACTAGCTTTATCGAAATACTGGTAGCAAATGACATTAAAATATCATGTTTTGCAAAAAAATAAAAAATTAATTCCTATGGGATTTTAAAAAGATCTACAATCATACCGTGTGATTTCTCCTGTCGAATATAGGGACTGTAACTGACGTCATCAACTGTCCCATTCCATCGTCGTCCAAGCTGCTGCTCTGTAATATAAAAATAAATTATAATTTCCCATACATATAGTAATTAAATATAAACTAAATAATGATATATTACCCTTCCACCAACGTATACGGGGCTCCAATGTACAGGGTGAAGAGTTTGATACATCACCATAGGTCTTGCTAACACCTCTACAAGATGTAACACTTTGTGACGTACCTCGCTGTGATCATTTATAGTCACGTGGAATCCTAACAAAAAATTATATGATATACAGCAGTTATATAACAAGTTATTTCCAGAAAAAAAAAATAAAAAAATTAAATTAATTAGATTCAGGTTTGCTTTAACGTAGATTGGTTTAAAAAAGAGTTTAGTTTAAAATGCCTGGAATCATTTTAACGTTTATATCATACCATATTATATATTATTAATGTTTGATTTTATTTGTATATATATCTAAATCGTGTATATCATTTGATTATACTGAGAGCTCATCTTATTCTGATTACCTTTGTTGGTGCAAGCCATGTCTTTCATATCGTGACCCGAGGCCGCGTCGCCTCCTACCCTGTACGTGAATATACGTACGGGCATGTGAGGCCAGTTCCAAGTACGGAAAACTGTCTTTACCCCCGCAGTACCACCCCCTGCTCCCACCACGGCAATAGCTTGGTTACATTGACAACCTTGACCGGTGCGATTGTACTGTAAAATATGAAACAAATAATATAGTTTGTGCCCTTGGTAAAAGTCAAGCAATGGCTTATTAAGGAAAGAATTAAGTTCATACCCGATGGAGAATCTCAAATGCTGTTGTCAGAGCACCGGTCAGATTTGCTGCGCCACCAGTCACTTCAGATCCCCAAACAGCGGTTTTAAGCTCTCGTATTGTTTCCGGTACCGCCTGAAAAATTTACGTAAGTCAAACAAAAGTTTCCTAAATCCATTTAAGTTGTATTACAATTTAAAAAATGAACTGATTTTGATTTGAAATTCAGATTTTCCTATAAAATGTTGGTGCTTAGATCTATATTTAAATGGACAAAGTGTTTCTAACGCAGTATCCAAGCAAAAAGAATATGTAGTACGTTGCGACAAAAATTTGTACTACATATATATGAATTTTTATTAAATTATTGAAGGAAATTTAGTAAATTAATAGGAATGTTGTACCACTAATTCTCTAAATTGTTTGTAGTTGCAGTGTTTGAAAGTTTCGTACACACAGTGCCAGGTAAGTTTCGACTGGGACGAGTTAGTGCATAATACGAATATCGGAATATCGATTATTTGAATACGTAACGACGGATCCTTCATTATTCAGATATTTTACACTGTTCAGTTCGTATACCAAAATATTAACATACATTCCCCAATACTATAGTCATAAATAACATAGGACTATTTTATTGACATAATCCCTTTGGTTCATACAACAATATTTTTAAAGTATAAACGATAACCACGTATTTTCTGGAAATTAACAGCAGTTTGTTAACATTTAGATTTAATTACGTAAAACTTATACAAAAATTAATAAAAATAAGATCTAGAGTATCACGACCACAGAACACTAAAAGTTTTCACTACTACAAGTTCGTATAAATTAAAAGTTTTTTTCGACTGAAAACCTTAATGAAGTATAATATATGCAATTTCTTCAATCGTTGCAAAGAAATGTATTAATATTAGATTTAGGAATCATTCAATAGTCATAGTAATTTTATACACCTAATTTAAATGAAATTAATATTTTCGGATTTACTACGCGTTTTTTAATTTTGAGTGTGAAACTCACATCTCGTCTGTCCGTGATCACGGTTGCTGTAAAGTAACCGAAATGTCGGGAGTATGTAGTTTATAAATTATAATCAAAAATAAAAATAATACTCACGAAAATTTAGATCTCATTATACACCTAATTATTGTACTTTATTTATAGGACACAGTTTAAGCCACATCTTTCTTCAAACCTACGTCATAGTTCACTATTTTTCATACTTGGTATAGCTATGGTCCGTTAATGACATTCCATTATTAATGACATGAGGCATGAGGTAGGTTTATAAGTGGTCTGTAAGAGTCTAAGAGCTCTATAGCGAACCAGTCACTTCACACTGAGCTCTCAGAAGGTCAAGGATTTGTGTCGCGGGTCCATTTACTATGACCAAGTAGTAGTTTATACTTGATATATACTAGTTTTACAGTTTTAAAATATGTATAGTTTACTTTTATTATTTATGTATTGCATTATTTTGATTGAAATTGTTTAAATTTTATATAAAGATATGTTATTGTTTTCGTAGCTTTATAAGTAGCCGAATTAAAACTAATTAAATTTAATATAAGACAAAATATGTTAAAGTAGCATCATTAATTTATTGTTTTGAAAATAAAATTTATTAAAAAGATTCATTCAAATATTTATAACTTTGGATGCGTATTATAATGTATAGACATAATTGTATGTTATGGAAAAACCAGTATTTTTTTTAAACTCATTTTGAACGAACTATCTATCTGTCTATTCTCAGTATAAGAATAGTGCTAGTCTAATCACCAATCAGAATTGTACTTTAAAACTATTACCAACTTAATTGTAACAGGAAAGGGACGTTTGCTCTATAAAAAAAATCGTATAATCTTCCTAATTTCATTACCATACTCTTTATATCAGGCATGAAAATTGACAGTAAATACCTGACAAATAGTGCTTCCGAAACCCGTATAATTTATTTAAACTTCATTTTTTTTATGCTATGTCTTCAACAAACTTCACTTAAAAACGACCTGTTACTGTCATAATAATGACTTTCAAGTTTGTTATTTAAGTTTTTTTCTTTTAAACCAAATGTCAGATGATAAATACAGATAAAAAATAAATATTAATACCAAAAACAGCTCCTTGAGATAATTTCGATTATCAAATTCTTTAACCCCTAACAGGTTAAGATCGTGCTGTCTGATTAATTTAACAAAAAAATAAATTTCGTACATTTTCAAAATAACCATATTATAATTTTATGAATAAAAAATGTGTTAGTGAAATTAGTTATCTAATGACCAGTATAAAAGCTTTATAATTCCAGTTTACGAATTCGTATAAGAGCATAGGTTAAATATCGATTTTATCGAAATAAGTCTGTCTGCTTTCAATAATTTATTCAGCAATACCAGACTGATATTCACCTATAGTTAGACATATCCTTGATTCACACAGCAAATACGATGTGAATACAATTTTACTATAAATATTTTGAATTGCGCCAATGTAACAAAAAAGTGAAATAGATATGTCTATTCTTACTTTTTTATCTGTCCTACATATGTTTTTTTCCTTTAATAAATAAATCATTTTCAAACAATATAAATTAAATTATTTTTTGGAACGTAAATCTAATACTATACCTTTAGTCCAAGTTTTCGTCATCACACTACATATGAAGAGTTTTCTATTTTCATTCAATAGCTTACGTTAAAACTATACTTTTTGCCGTGCAAGATTTATGAATAAAATACTGTTGAAGCTCCATATGTAGCATGGCGATCACAACTTTGAATAAGCATATTGATCTATTAATAGTTATTCAATAAATATTATTGATGAATAGTACTGGAATTGGGTTTCAGTATAGTTTAAAATTTTGAACTAAGTAGAAACAAAGTTCTTGGCGATATTACTAAATATTAAATGTTTCCGAACGCGTGTAGATGATTCTATATACGTAAGTAATGAAAAATATTGTCTCAGTAAAATGAAGTAAAATTTTAATAGAAAATATATTACGATTCAAAAGTACGGAAATTCCTCATGTAGAATTTCATAGAATTCCATGATTCCGAACTCCGTCCAACTTGTCGTTGGAAATTCTCTTCCTAGTCGAAGTTGGGAACTCCACCGATAATATAATAATAATAACCTCACCTCACCTGTCACACTCGGTAGGTACTCTTGGACCGATTTTATCTATTTTCAACAACTACACGTAAACGCAGTGGCTCGTTATTTTGATATATGCTGTTATAAAACTTTGCTTCCATGCAGTCATTTAAAAAGAAGACTTTATAGCATATATCCTTTTATATGACCAAGTATTTTAGGTTTATCTTGTATATCATGCACTAGAAGTTTTCACTGAACGTCTTGTCTAGTAGGTAATGTAACATTGTAAGTCTTGTATACTAAAACGTTCCACTCACGTCACCATAACATCTTAGTGTTGGTGGTAAAAGCTTCCATTAATTCCGTTGAGGCGTAAACGTAAACTTTTCACTTTGAGAAAAGTAATGTCTTGGGTCCTCAATACCCACCATTAAGGTGCGTGGAGCGGCTGAATGACGTTCCAAGGACATTGCTTAGTATTCAAAAGACGTTTTCTATTACTTGAAGTTACTTTGTCATATATTTATGTATATACATATATCTATATATAAATAACTATATTTAGTTAATTAATTTTATTATGTATTTTATTTATAACATATTCTGGACAATGCTATGAAATATGAATCGAAAGTCGTAAAAACTGAACAATATTTATTTGTAATATTTTAATGAAATTCTTGTCACTGTTTTTTAGCCTGTCTGAAAATTCAGAACAAAATTTTCAATATGTTTTACTGACAAATAGCTCGTTTAAAATAACCATTTTGACGTAAACACAAAAAAAATTAGAGAGAATGCGAAAAAGCAGATAGATACATATATCAGAGAGATATAAGATGGATAAAATTCATTTATATTAAGATTATTTTTAATAGCCCTCTCTGTCTCGCTTGCACCTACACAAGAATGTATTAAGTCATGGAGACAGCATGTGCTAAAGCCTCTTGAGGTAGTGAAGTTACGAAATAACATTATTTGTGTCCCATTCCGCTTTTAATGGATCCCCGCATTAGGGCTCGTTTGATTGAATCCATTAGGGCGCGTACACACAGGAAGATGCGTATCTGAATACAGCACGCGATACATGCATTTGTAGGAATCGGTAATTTTTAGATATTTATATCATATTGATTCGAATCTTTAACCTTGAAAGTTAAATATACGTAGATTATATTTAACAAATAATTTGTTATATATATAAAAGTATTCTTTTACTGTCTATAATACAATAAATTTTCGTCTCATTCTGTTTCATCCCTAATCATATTATAAATGCAAAAGTAACTCTGCTGTCTGTGTGTTTGTTACGCTTTCACGCCTAAACCACTGAACTGATTTTAATGAAATTTGGTACAGACATAGAGTTGCGTTTGAGAAAGAACATAGGATAATTTTTATCCCAGACTTTTGAAAGGTGCTTTTGGAAACGCGATATAATCGAAATCCACGCGGGCGAAGCTGCGGGCGGAAAGCTACTATAGGATAAGATTTAAGATCAAAGCCCATCTTTATGTATCAATCCGGACGCTCTATGCTGATGAATTCCACATCTTATGTAAATCATCTCCGAGTTTTAACTCGCATATGCAAGCGATATGCAAAGTAAGCTCTTTTACAGTCCCTTCCCTAGCTACAGATTTAAATATAACCGTTATATATAATTAGAATGTATTTTAAATTAATCTTTACGTTTCATTTTTAAGGTACTTTTTTGCTTGGAGTTTATAAACCATTGTAAATAGTTGCAGAAAACCTCTGCAAAATATCTGTGTTTTTGAGCACAGAGTATTATACAGTTATTATTTATATATGTAGTACGTACCTGGGCTAATATTTTCGTGTAGCATTGGTGCAATTCCGACACAGTGTCACTATATCTATATATGTTGACAAAGTCGTTGGGTCCGAGTGTATCAAGTAGCGCGGAGACAGTCGATTTGGCCAAACGGTGATAAGAAGAACTGATATCGTCAGAATCATCCAAAAGAATCACCAATCTTTGGGTGATGTTGCAGCTTCAACGAACCAATTCGATGACCTGAAGTCGTAGAAATCTCTTGCGTGGTGAGAGTAACCGTCTTCTGGCGGCCACGACATCGCTGTAAGAAATGCATTCAATACATACTCTTCTTCATATAATTGATATAAATCAGTGTTACTTATAGCTATGTAAATATAATACCTGGGTAACGCCTCATAAAACCGTTGGAGGATGCGTAATACTGCCATGACAATGTAGGATCGATTTCATAGTTGTTAACAAACAGCGGATCTAAATGTTCCGACCAAGCTATCTGGTTTTGAACTTCGGGGTCTGTAACAAAAATTACTATTGGTAAAGTGGTTATGTCTTACAAACTACTTACTACTTAACTACCTATACATTATTCTAAGAAAATCCACAAATAAGACATAGTAATGTAATATTCGACAAAAATATCGTAAACAAATCTAATTTAGTTCAAATATAAACATTTTATTAATATCATATCCAAGTAAATACTCATTTAGGAAGCCGGGAGCGCACTATTCACCGAATTAACTGAATTGAGTCTGCTCATTGATTCTGGTAGAGAAAACTTTGCTCGGTACCAGCTTAAATTCAATGTGGGTTAATTGAGTTCAGTCGGCTAAAAGCTTTGATGTAGAGCTCACTTGTAATAGCTTATAGCCGCAGCGCAGAGTGCTGGCTATCATGTTGTATTTATATAGAAGCCTTTGCTGTCAGATCTCATATGCTTTGATAATTACACGCCTTAATGACGTTTAATAACCCCTACCTGCAACACTGACCCTACTACATAAATTGATAGCATTAAGTTTACAGGTAAAACCTGGTTTTTAAAGTGGGAAATTACCTGAGTAACTCTATATTTTGAGGGATAGGATTACTTTTTGAATGGCTAATAAGTATTTTATTTACGAATGGTCATATTATTATGTTTGATAAGAGCATTTGCTATTGTAGAGATGGATATCATAGAAAAAGACTTAATTATTGTTTAACTTTATTTGTTATGAAGTTTATAATAAATATGGTATATACAATATAGTTTTTCAGATATATCTTATGCTTTTAACTGGCGTAACTAAACCTATACTTAAATAAGTTATACATACATGTTTAGTTTAAAATTTGTAGTATGATAGTGAGTAACCATTATATAAAGCCGGGAATAAGTCTATTTGTAAATAAATCATGTCACCCGTAACTCCCCTATTCTCGCATGTCAAAATTATATAACGCGTCATTATTTAAGGCAGCCCAGTGTCACTTTGTCACGGTACAAGCAACTGGTGATATTAAATATCATTGTCGACGTATAAAGCCGAAATTGATTTTACATTTACATATTTTTTCACCATGGAATCAATATATATATATGTATTTATATTCTATGTTTTAAATTTAACAGAATCACGTGTTGATGCAACAGTATTAGGATCGGCGAATGGCAACGAATTGGAGAGGATAAATTGCAAAATGACTTTAACTGGGCAATAAAAAGTGCCTATTGATTATAAAAAAGCAAGTAGTGTCTGAATTTATCCAAAATTTTCGTAATATTTATTTCTTGTATTCTTAATCGAACTCTCAGTTATGTACACGAAAATAAAACAATAGGTTTTTGTAATTCATACATGTTGACCCAAAGACCATGATATAAGTTAAAATTGGAATGTTATGGAAGTCTTTCTTAATAGGACCAACATAACTCCTTCCCTAAAAATCCTCTTTTTATTCAAATCTTTTATACCTAAACCATGTTGAGAGATATTTATATTAGTATATTTATATTTAGTCTACAAAGTCTCTTAAAAACTCCATTTATTTCATTCTTCTTTCATTTTTATATTTAAATAAGGCTCCAATACGTTAGTGCTAGTGTCTTCATGAAGGACAAGAAAAACTACATTAAACGTTCACTTCTTATACGTAAAGGCACTAATTTATATGTTAGTTAATTTCGGACACTTCTTGATTAAAGAGCCTAATAGATATAAAAATGAAGAGTGTTTGAAATTTGAAAAAAACATTTTTTAGAAAAGATCTCAAGAGTACAATTTCCTTTCCTCTCCTTAAATTCTTATTACCACACTAAAAACACCCTGTATTATAGTTTGCACTCGGTTAAAAAAATCCATGCGCTGATAAAGCAAACATATTAAACATCCAACCTATAGTATTGAACATCAACTCAATATTGAGCTGATAAAAAATGGTTACCAACCTTCCGTGTTAATATACGGCGGCATGAGCACCGCGCTATAGCTGGTGTTCACAGCGATATGATCGAAGTGTCTGCTGGGTGATAGTAACAGTCTCCTCGCTCGTGCAGCCAGGGTTCCATCATCAGCGTGAACATTCAGCCATCGAGCGTCGTAGTAAGAACCCGGAGAACCATCGGTAGTGCTGCCCGCTGATAACGCCGCAGCTTCCGCGGAATCCATGATGCGCTGTCATATATTTTTTCATTAATAAAGTGTATAATGACGGATTTTTTTAGTACAAAACATCCTACATATTAGAAAGTTATCTTTTAACTAAATTTTATTTTTGACGAAGTACTCTTAGTTACAGAAAAATTTACTTTCATTACTCCCCTATTCTTGTAATTAAAATTTGTTCATTTGGAAAAGAATTTCATTAATTTATAAATTGTATTGTATTGTAAAATCATTCAATTTATATATTTATAAATCGTTAGTAAAAACGCGGTACATCCTACATATTATTGTAGTAAGTTATCTTTTTTCTTCGAATATAAAAGAGAATAATAACAAATTTTACAGCACATATGACGCAGACACATAATGGAATGTGTTACAAAGTACATTTCTCGACACATTAAGTGATGACTTTAGCTCCACGGGAGTATCTGCGGTGGACACGACAGCCGGTATGCTACGTGGGAGACCGTACGGAGGAGTCGCGCTGCTGTGGAGACGTAGTGTTTTTCAAGATGTGACCGTAATTGAGTGCAATAACCCCTCGAATTTGTGCAGTGAAAATAGTGTTGCAAGAGAAATCTTTTATTGTTATGAGTGTATACATGCCTACGGAGGAAATAAGTCACGTAACTTCTCAGTTCTGCATAGAGCAAGATTGGACGTGTATAGACACTAAGTTGTTAGGCCTAAACTCGCACACGTATACTTTTATAAGTGAAGCACACGGGTGCAAGCGATGGCTTGATCATTGCTTAACAACAAAAGCAGCGTTAGATTCTGTACATAATATATATGTGTTATATATGATGTATTATGGTCTTCCCTTTGAAAAGGTACAGAAATATTTTAAGAGGCGTATAGTAAGAAAGAAGGTTATAGGCTGGATTATTGATTTGTTTGTTAATTAAATATTTTTTCTATTAGGGAATGAATTTGAGTTATATATTTATAAATTGTAAGTATCTCGTAGTAGGTCATGAAATTTGATGAATCTAAATGATGTCATAGTAAATAATATACATCATAAGCAACGCACAAAGCGGTTTTACTTGAAAGTTATTTTCTTCATTCTCTTTGAAATTCTTGTTACTCGATTCCAGAGCGTAAATGGCAAAAAACTATGTAATTTTCACTTTGAATACTTCGAGCAAACTTAGATAAAGCACCATTACAGCTTTAAAGAGAAATAAATTTAAATTAGTTCAAAGGCTATTTATATGAAAACTGCAAAGTATATATTATTATTATTATTATTATAATATATGTACATCATAAACAACGCACAAAGCGGTAGACTCAGAAAACAACAAGTTAGCACAACTGCTAAAATATAAACTGGTTAGTGAATTCATTTCGAATACAAAGCTACTTTTCTCTCAAGATAAAAAACGGAAGGGCTTTATTCCTCGAGTTTTTTTTAATTTCCACAATTCCAATGAATACAAACAAAGGCGTAGTTCGATCGGGCGAACTCTTCTCTCTAATTAACGGCATTCTACATATTTTCTTTAATTTCTCAAAGATTCAGCGGAATTTTTTTTGTACATAAAATGCAATTGTATTATGAAAATAATGTTTCAAAGATAAATTATACATTTTAACTTTATTACATCACTTAAACGTTTAGCAAGTTTGCTAAGAGGTCCTAAAAACTGTTTATAAATGAGACTTTAGTGAGACGAAATGGTCCCGTCGGAGGAATAAGTTCGAGAGGAGAGAAGTAATTAAAACTTGCATCCCCTTACAATGTTTGTAGACACACACTTGCTAGTTATATATAACACTAGCTAATACCCGTGACTTCGCCCGATGACCCTTATGTCCTGGATAAAACGAACCCATATTCTAACAATTTAGGTCTGAACATTACTCCGAAGTAAACAAGATTTTTGTTTGAAAAGTAATAAGCAATACATCCATCAATCCTCATATAAGTTTTCCCATGTATAATATAATTGGGTGATCCAACTCCTAAACAAAAACCGTATATATATCTCTATGAATATAAGGCCTATGTATTATGTAAGTGTCTCTTAATAACAATGGTTGGTTATATTAATTCAGAGAACTAATATTTATAATATATTATATAGAAGTCAAATAAGTGTTTGAATATTAATTAAAAATAAAAGGTTCCAGCACCTCTGTTCTTGATGTAGCTATTAAAATGGGCCCAGGGAGTCTTGGTGTTGGTGAAACAATACTTAGCGCTGTGTAAATGCGGATTTCCTTTATTTTGTTTAAGCTACAGTTTCATTAAGTGCGAGATGTCGGCTTCGTTTTTTCTTGGCGACGCCCGCAGCAATCTCCCGATTTTTCAACTTTATTGTGGTAAGTTCTAGGCGCTTTGGCTCGAATCTTGTTCGCAACTTATTATGATACCCCCAATTCGTTTTTCACTTATGCATAAATTTTAAACATTCTTGCAATATAAAAACAACTATAAGATAGAAGTCGTTAACATAACGTCTAGATTACGATATATTTGTTAATATTAACACACTACTATTAAAACCAAATAAATTTTTATTTCTCCTTAAATCTATATGAAATTTTTGCTCATTCAATCAATTTGTTCCCGGCCAATCTTCTTGAAGTATCGTCATTGTTGATCGCACCCCTTAACAAAAAAGGGAACGGATGGATAAAAACAAGGACATAACGTTTCTTCTTTTGGTTATTTTATATTTCTTCCTAAAAGAGTCAGGGGTACTGAACATTTTCTACCCACACTTAGTATTAAATAATTTCATGCTATGAATAATAGCGTATTAAAATTTACCAAACGCCAGATCCAATTATTTATTACACAATTGAGTTATACTTAAAACATTTACATTATCATATTATATTTAAAATATTACAATCACGTGATAACCTTAAGTAACTCAGAATGTGATTAATACGTGTAGAAGCAACGCTGTATACGAAAATGTAGAGGTATATTTATAATTTAATTTATCAACAAATATAGGAAGCGTGTTATTTGTAGAACGTATAATTTTAAGTACCTCTAAAGAAATTGCATACAAAATTTCAAAGTTTTGGAGCTAAAATGTATATGGTTAATATTAAAGCATTTAGAATTTAGAAATGACTGAATTAGAAGCGTTGCTTAGAAATTATCTACTCGTAAGACGATTAAAGACTCTCTAGGGATCTGAGTTTCTATGATAAGATTTCGTGTTGGCTATAGACCACAAATCGCAAGCTTATTTGTCATATTATTACATATTATAATATAAACGAAGTGACACTTACATCGTTAGAATGTAGCAGAACGTCATGAACTCTGTAAATTGTAAATGAATTTTATATATATAAACTCAGCAAAGTTTTTTTGCTATATAAAAAATAGATGTTGGTGATAAAAAAGTAAAAATTTTGGGTATTAATTTTGGGTAGTAATTTTGGGTATATGTATTTTTAATGCTACATTATAAAAAAAGACTAACAAAAAAAAAAATCGTACGAAAATTTAAAAAAAATTGTGAATTACCCTTATGACTTAGGGGTATGAAAAATAGATGTTGTCCGATTTTCAGACCTACTCAATATGCTCATAAAATTTCATCAAAAACGGGCAAGCCGTTTGGGAGGAGTTCTCTGTCTAACAACGCGACACGAGAATGTGATATATATACAGAATGTAATATCAGTTGATACTAATCATATGTTTTAAGAACCATAAACAATTATTACTCAACATTAAGATGGCATGTCTGATAGTATTGAATAATATTTTAAAATTTCCATTGTCTTTGGACCCCACACTAGGAGACCTGTATCGTGCGGGTGTTCATTGAAAGGTAGACGAAAACATACTCGTACAAATCTATCGCTTTAAGCATTTCTGGCTAACACATATGTATGTTGGGGAACATAACCGCAATACTGTCGTCCGCAGATTGTAATAGGTATCATATTAGGAATTGTGCCAGCTATGTCTGCATTGCCAGCATTGACTCCAAAATGTTAAAGATCTATAATTTTTTTCTTAATTTTACTTATAATATGGTCGTTTGTAATTCTAGTTTCTTTATTTTATCATGACAGAACCAATATTTCATTAATATGTAATTTATTATATAATTATATTAAAAGTTTTGTAAGGCTATCGAAAAAGTTTTAGAGACAGAGAAACTTACAATTCTCTGTTCATAAGCATGATTATCAGTTGAGCAAAAAGATCAATATTAAAGATACAAGATAATTTTCTTTGCTTATAGAATAATTAGATAATAAAAAACGCATGAAAATCCCTGAATTGTGCATAATATTAAAATACAACCATTATACTTAAGATAAGTGCAATGCTGGCAGTCGAATTCATTGCAGCGTGCATTTGGTGCAGAAGCAGTGCTGCTTTTAAATGTGTAGACTCATAATCCCTTCTGAGATCATCAAATAATAACGCATTTATTCAACGGCTTATTTATTAATCTATTTTAATTATTATTTATATAGCAGCTTAGCAATTCAAAATACGTAGAAGAAAAGATTATTAAAATATGTATTTTCCACTTTTAATTCCGACTGTTTTATGTGTTCCCACCAGAGACTTGTCTATACAAACAGTACTAGCTACTGTTTTAATCTTATTAAGAGGATACAGTTAACATATGCAAATGAAAGTATACGTCTCAGACACGTTGAAGAGCGGTCATCATTGGCGAAGGTTTGTGTCAGGTCGTTGACCTCTTCATTCTATCCGTAGCCGCGTCATCGCCCACACTACGACACTACACATAAGGCTTCCCTCGTAACCAATAACACCCACAACATTTAATAACTTCAGGTTATCGATTCAGTTGCTCGCGTAAAATAAGTTTACCACCTTCGTGTATTAAATTTTGTTCAAGCTATTATATATATTCATACTTCACTATCTTCAATTCATTATATTAACAGTATTATTCTTATATAAGGATAATTACATAAAACGTAATACAGAGTGTCAGTAATACTGCAGTTCAGAATATTGAGTAAGTAGCCGGCTGCAGGCG